TCTGATTTATGATACATAGATACTTTCCTAACCTTCCATTTTTGTGACCCAAGCTGAAATCTCGCCCATGTGACTACAGGGATTTGGTTTCTAGTCCTTATCTGATCCATGGGTTTTCCCTGTATCTGAAAATGAATATCTCTTCCCCTGACCAAATAGTGTCTGCTGTATTTCCAGCAATCTCACTGTCTCCTCGGTCTCCTCTCTTTATGTATATTCAGACTTAGGAGCGACTACTTTTAAAGAACCCTTAATTTTATGAACAGAAATACACATCAAAATCTTCACAAGTATTCACAAAACCCCAGCTTCAATGTAATCTGCAAGCTATTCATACATGAACTGTGACAAATTCATTCCCATCTTATTGCTCTGTTATGTCAATGCTATCATTTAAGAAATTTTGGACTGTTCTTCTCTTCTCTCAACATTGGTGCGGCCACCAACAAGCAGGGAACTACATGTACATAATAGTCCTTACAGCCGGCAGTTTGTTGGCCAGCAGGCTGTCCAGGTATCCGTAGGCATCTTTTCCCGTCACCTCAATCTTGGCAAACGGGCTGAGGTCGATGATCCCGGCTCGCTTCATCACCATTTCGTACTCTCGCCTAACTGGCTCAAACCAGTTGGATCGATGGAAGCTGGGCTTGTACCCAGCCTCGTCGCCATCCAGTGCAAACCAGTGGGGCTGTTCCCAGCCTGAAATTGAAATAAATACACCAAATAAATAACAGCTTATTAATCGTTTTCCACTTGTTACAAAACTGAGCAATCTAAAAAGATGATACAATCTTGCTGCTGATAGCCATTCAAAATTAGCTTTGAAAATGAGATATGAATGATGGTTGGCATTAGGCAAATGTTAGTGTCCTCTTTTTGAGAAGTCAGTCCTGATTTTTTAAGATCTTGAGAAACATTAATGAAAACATAATTAACAAATTAATCATAAACAAATGAATACTTTTTGAAAGGTTACGCCATTTCTGTGGGTATTCCTGCAGGGAACTTTCTTACCTTTCTCCACATCAATTATTGCTCAGGAAATCAATTATTGCTCAGGAAATCAATAACAGAGATTTCAAGTTCTGAATTATTACGACGTACTGCATCTACATGTATGCTCTCTAGTTCAGCATTCACCGACAATATAAAGAAAACTGGAAATGAATTTTTGGTCTGAATGAAAGTGAGGGTTAGTCTTTACCACTGTAACTCTTCACGTTGAGCACAGTCCAGCACTCACCTGCATGAAATCCAAACTCAGCTCCTTGGGATTTGAGCTTTTCATAAATGCCATTGATACGCTTGGTCGGTCTGCCCGCCCACCGCTCTTCACGGGGCCAGCCGATGGCGTTGTTCATCCCGTACGTCTCGCGGGTCTTGATGCTCGTGTACTCCCTGCAATTAACAAACATTCTGAAATTTCTGAAAGATGCTCTTTGGGGTGAAAGCAAATTGGCAAAGTGGTGGCGCATCAGGTAAAAAGAAGGTAGCTGTACCTATCCAATGAAGAACTTCTTGAATGGCGCCTTTCAAGAACACAGAGTGTTCTTGTGGGATGTTGAATTTACCTTGGGCTAATAAAGCAAAGGGTTGCAGTAGCCGTGACATTAACATAGAATACTGTATTGATAATGTGCTATCAACAATTCCAGGATTTCAGTGTGTCCGCCTTAATTTTGAGGAACCAATTTCAAAAAAGCACTGAAAGCTGAGGATAACAGACAGGAAGTTAACACCAGACACATCCCACTATAACATTTCTATGAATGCTCCATGCTTATTTGTGGGTCTAATGTTACAGTCGGAAGAAGCACATAAAAACTGCTAAACAAATCCACGTGCCAAGCAAACCACAATAGCGCATGAGTCCTAAGAACAATGCATGGCTAGAAATTTGCTTCTCACTGGACGAATTCCTGGGCTCGTCTATACAGCTTGAATTCATCTGCTCTCTGGTGCAGGAACTGTGCACGCACAGTGTGGCATACTTTTGAGAGCTACTAAGTTTTGATCCAAGGATACACATTTATGTTATTAACCCAGTGTGGATGTTCCTTCACTCTTCAGTCATTGTGAAAACTCGATAAAAACACTAATTTCTCTTAAACTGTTAACACTACTTTTAAGCTGCACTTTGTGGACCTGCTTTGTTTGCAGGACGACACAAAGACAGCAAGGCTGGCACAACGGTTCACGCTAGGTCAAACAGAAAGTGGAAAGTGACCGGCTTTCAGTGGAATGCGCACAGCACAAAGCACCTAACCATGAGAAGAGAAGCAGGTTCCTGAACGAAGGTGTGGGACACAAATGGCTTTCAAGTGTGGCTGTGTCTATGGCAAAAGGCTTCAGCCACTGGAAAGTGACTCCCATGGGTAGGTGTGTTATTTCTAGACCTAGCCATGACATTTGGACACGGAAACAACAATCCTATTCTCAAACAGCTGCTTTTACATTCAACTTTCTTCCTAACAGCGTGAATGATGTTTCTCCTCTAAGTAATGGTGCAAGGACTGACCTGCTTGTCCAATTGCCGAAGCGATTGGCATCCAACTCCACCAGATCATACGGTGGCTCCCCGTCAATCATCCAGTCACTGATGTACTTGCCGTAGCCCCCGGAATGGATGATGCCGTAACTTTAAGCAAGAGTAAACACACAGACAAAACAACTAACTTAGTCATCTAGTTACCAACAGTTCACAAGCTAGTACTCATGTGGGATTCGAACCCATTTCCTTCACTTCCTTGCTCAAATACTATTCTTCACACTTGGTCAAATAAGAGTGCGCTTCATTATCAATCAAGGACAAAACTTAACATAATTTCCACAAATTTCCACATGCCAAGCATACCTCTGGAAATTTCGTTCAATCTAGTTTGAACGGGGCAAAAGATAACAATGTATTCAAAACTGAAGAATGTTGATTAAACACGCTCTCAGTTACAAGTGGTTACAAACCACAGACACTCTTTGTGGATCTGAAAGAGGCACAAGCCAGTGATGCTTGGTTTACATATTAACATCAGTAGATGCAGACAGCATCAACAAACAGTCCCTGATGTAGGGCTGTGCCAAATATCCGAATATTTGATCGATTATCAAATATTCCAATATCATATTCTGAATTTGAATATTTGAATAAAAAATTCATGAACAGGGAGAATTTTCTTTTGTTTTAAAAGAGAAAAATCGCACTATGGAGGCTTGTTAAAAGCAAATTCAAATGAAAAGTGAAAGAATATTGTATCTTATGATTCAAAAAGTAAATTCTTCATTAAAAAATCTAAAAGGAAAAGAAATCTAAAAGGCAAGAAGTACTGTTTGTCTATTAAATCTTTAAAATCGTTGCTGGAGATCCTTCTAGAAATGAGAAGCTATTACAGTGATTATAATGCACAATTGTGTGCGTTATTGCAACTTATATATGTTTTCTTTATCAACAATCTGCCGGTTGGTATGACCGAATACTCAGACATGTGATTGAATTGAAGACCAAATATTCCAATAGTGCATTATTCAAATCGACTCAGCCCTACCCTAATGACATGTTATATGGAAACAATTTATTGAGATCAACTCACTTGCATCAAGCTGTTAGAATACTGTTGGCCCACAGCAACATGTCGACCGGCCCATGGGCCTACAAAAATGTCCCTGTCACATGAGTACCATGTGTTTCGACCATTTTCTCTTCATGACTAAGAAATGAAACCCCAATTTTAATAAAAAAACCACCTCGCCAAAAATTAAAAATACTGGATTTGGGCACAAGTTTAGCTTTGAGAAATGATAAAACTACCCCCCCCCGGTAAAAAGGCATGCCACATATTCCATTGTGTCTTGAATTCAATCCCTGTTACCGAGTCTTAACTTTCTGCTTGCTGCCAGTATTTGTTATGACCGTATGGAAATGAGGCTTATTCAACGCTTTACCCAGTGCCGCAGGCAAGCCAGAAGTTCCTGAGTCCCTGGTAGGGTCCCACCATCCCCAGGACATCGGGGCTGTAAGTGATGGGTCCACAGACGACGCTCTGGATGTCTGCAGTTTGAAGGATGGGAACACGCTGCATGGCCCCTTCCACATGCTCCATCAGTCGATCCATGTCACTTTCGAACAATTCTTTACCAAAGCCTGAAATGGATGACAAAAGCAGAAATGACCTTTTGTCAGTCATAAGATTTGCATACAGATTTTAAACCAAGAACCAACTGCACTACATGAGACCTCTTGGGGATTAGACAAATCAACTACATGAGGGAAAAGTCTGATCATGGCTTTATATTCTATATGTGTAAATCAGTAACTTTACAAGTAACATGTTTTTTTCTATTGCGGTTAACTACTTCCTAACTGACAAAAATTTGCAAATACAGGCCTGGAAATGGTATCTTTCCATCATCAATCTTTAGACTGGCAGAACCGCAATATTCTTGAGACTTTCTAAACTGATTTTGTTACCCACTGTTCCGGCACTTTCCCGAGCTGGTCAGACATTTAAGGATTGCTTTAAAATTCATGAGCATGCAAATGATTCCAGGTCCCTAGGACCGGTCTAGTCCAGTTCATTCTGGTAATTGTCAAGATATTCTAGGACCCTGGTAACAGGAAAAATTACTGAGTTCTTATAAGGAATTCCATTTAAGTACCGGATGGACAACAAGGAACTGTAATGTGGCAAAGCCTACTAGGGCAATGCTTATGGCCTTCCTTGGACTTTGCATGGAGAGTTGTGGGACTGGTACTGGACGATACTTCAAAGGTCGTTTTTATAGAAGGGCAGATGACTCGAGGCTTTTCTGAAGTGCTTTAAAAAATTCCCAAATTGCTGGTGGAGAACTGCCTTCAAACTCTATGACCCCGGTTTCCAATCGACACGTGAACTGGATTTTCAGTTTTTTGCCTTATTCCGTGGTTTTTTCCTCGGAACGTCATTCTGAGGTTTCCTCCTATACCTAAAAATAAAAAAGAATTCATCTTCTCTCTCTGGCCTCCAGGTTACAAAGCCTGTGTACTTTTGAGGAATCCTCGGGTGTGGTTTAACCAGAAAGGATTACAGTAAACAAAATTCTCAAGACCATGGGCCACGGAAGTCAGAAATTCTGGCCAAGTCAGTGATTGTTTGGGATGCATCGAAAATCGGTAAAAGAGCCCAAATGGGGTTGATAAGGGCCCAAGTGGGGGAGGGGGGAAAGAAGAGGGGGAAAGGGTGTCACACCTACCCGGGGGCACACCGTCTCTAACCCAGTCATCCTGCTGTTTCATCTTGTGGCTTTTCTCATAGGGTCCAAATAGCAGGCCCGACCGCTCCTGCCGGAGGTAGTAGGAGTTCTCCAGGTCCCGGATGACTGGAGGCTCCCGCTTCAGGGCCTGCACCTCAGGGATGGAGGAGGTGATGACATACTGGTGTTGGATGGCCACCATGGGCAGCTCCAGGCCGGCCATGCGACCCACATCTGTGGCCCAGAATCCTGGGTTAATGAGAAGCCAGTGGGGGAGAAAGAAATGTTGCTTCAATACAGTTAAGGTCGACAGCAGGTGCTTGGCAATAACTAACCGCCCCCGATGAGCCCTGACAACACTACTTCTAATGTTCCAAGCTAGCTGCACTGGGAGCTAGAACATGCAGACAGCAATCCCAACTGAAGGTACTTCAGATCACTGCCCTTGTGTCTTGCCTCTGCAATCCAGTGTGCTGGCCTTAATTGTGCAATAACTGGTGAACTATGCAAGCGGGGCGCTGTGCTTTCCCGTCGGTACATTAGGTTGGACACTGACATGCACAAACCCATCTCATGAGAAGGCCACAAAGCCCATACACGTACTCAACCACAACATAATCATTCCATCAATATGGTGACATTCTGGTCAGATGTTTATGTACCAATGTTAAGAGTTCCCCCTAGCACCCATGGTTGATACCGACCTGCAGCATTTACGATGCGCTTGGCAGTCAGTGTGCCATGTTCAGTTTCTACATCCCAGCCTCCATCACTGCGCTGCTTGAGGCCCTGTGTGCTGGCTGGCATGTAGATCTCGGCTCCATATTTACGAGCTCCAATGGCGTAGGCTTGGGTCAGAGAGTAAGGGTCAATGTGGCCATCTCCTGGATTGAACACGCCACCCAATATCTACAGAAACAAAAATGATGCATATAAACAAAGACAAATGTCCGGCCAAGCCTTCATTTCTGTTGAAGAATGAAGACTGTGCCACCGTACAACTTTTGGAATTACACTGACATGCAATAACAGTTGCTTAGAACAGCACTTGATTTTGAAATTTTGTTGCATCGTTTTGAAGACATAGCTTAACTTTATCACATGTATGCCAATTCAGGCATGTGGTGGAATAGAGTGGCCTGGCCTGCCACTCACAGAAGGCCTTGCCCGAAACTTTGGGTACCTCAGTGCTGTGTATGAGGCCCCCAATACCATGAGGCACTGAACACAAGCGGGAAAAAGGAAAACTGTATCAAGCTACCACTACAATCACTTCTCAAGCACAAGTACTGTAACTTGTTTAACAAGTAAAACCTGGTCCTAACGGTCCATTTTTACACATTCTTCCAATAGTCACGCCATTGGACTCCTAAAATGCTCCACTTTTTTTGTTTAAGTTGTTGCCAGTCTAGTCTTGGTTTCTGGATTTAAATCATTTTTTGTCACTCTTTATTGCAATATGTTGAAGAGAAGCAGCCCTTGAAATATGTATTTAATATGTATTAAAACTGATGTGGTCTTTGTTGCAGGAAAATGCTGGAAAGTCATTGTTTGCGAAAGAATCACTTTGCAACGTTGGCCTAGTTGATGTTGCTTGACATGCCAGTCTGCAATAATCCTTACATTGTTCAGCTTAAAGTTCTTGCATAAACTTTGAAAAAATTTATCACACTAGTCTGACAGATATGATGTACCCATACCCCATCCATGTTCAGTAGAGGGTGGAGTTCGGCCACTCTCTCCGGCCCTATCAGCTCCTGCACTGCTTTGTGCCAGCCAGCTCGCGACATCTGGTACTTGGCTTCGTCCATGCGATCCGGCGTGGTGAGGAGACGCAGGCTCCCCGGCTGGTGGAAGCCCACTTGCTAGGTATTCGTGGTAAGAGTGAAACAAAAAAAAATCACGGCGATTCAAATTTTAATCTGATATATATATGTGGAAAGAAACTCCCCAAAAAATTCTGGTTGAGAGTTCTCCTTGGCAGCCAAATAACCCATTGACGGTTTGAAAAGCTTTCAGATTCTTACTGGAAAAATCCAAAAGTATATTTTAAAAATATGCAATTATTTGAATCTTTGACAGGTATTTTGGAAATGTCTATTCTATACTAGTCGAGAAAACGGCATTTCTTTGGAGGCGTAGGCAAAGTTTCATACTCACAACCAACCTCACCACCTCCTCCTGCCTCCTCCCCCAAAAAATGAGTGTAAGTTACAACCAACAGAAAGAGCACCATCTTGTGAACAATGTCAGATTGAAAGAAATCAAGGAAGTTATAGCTGAGTATTGTCACATGTCAGCCTCCTCCAACCAGCTCATCAATCAAATTGTGCTCATATCCAATTACTAGCACGGCACAGAGTGCCGTCTTCAATACCCTCGCCACTCCAAATCCCTTCAATATCCAACAGTTTTTAATTTTGGTATTGAGCTGAGAATGGATAATCCTGTGATCTGATTGTTGGATTTTATTGGATCGGGCAGGTCTCAACCAGGTTTCAACCTTTTGAAAGAAGAAAGAGGTCCATACGCAGGGACCACTGCTTTTCCCTGCAGTGAACTATTAGCCAACTAAAAGCAAAAAGGTACACACAAGTCAAACGTCACAGTGAAAATTTTCAGGGATTCACTTAAAAACATTTACAATTTTACAGACCAGTCTCATAGGGTTTGTGGACAGCATGTCAAGCAGCGTCCGTATATGTATGGAATTCTTTCCCTGGGCTCATCAAGAAATCCACTGATTACCTGTCCAGTTTCAGCCTCCAACTGTTCAAACAACTTGATGCTGTAATGATGGATGTTTTTCAAGTTGATGCCGGGATGAAAGTATGTGACCAATCCAGCCTACAAGCAGAGTCAAAACAGATTGGGTGAAGTCTTGCCGCAAGGTTGATCAAAAACATGACGTACCATGAGACAATGTAGTCGAAAAAATAGTTCTGCTTCCAATTACAGGCCTCTAAAAAATAGGGTCGGTAGGTCAGAACAAAATTTTCTTTTTGGGGGGGAGTCAAGTTTTTGTGCTGATTGAATGACATGAATGGGGATGAAAGCTTCCAAACATTGCCACAAAAAATGATAAAAACTTGCCTTAACCCTAACAGTCCTCAGTCCTCCAACAGGTGAAGGATTGAGGAGTGTTAGGGTTAATCTACATGTATGTATAAACGTCTAGAGTTGATAATTCATAATTATGGATAATTCACACCACTGTGCAAAACGCTCGTCAGGTAATCACAACGACAAACTGGCCAATGTTGTCTGTATATTGTGTGGTAAGCATGTATGCGGCATCCAGGTGGGTTGGCGATAAAACTCATACCACGGCAGGAAATTTTGTGGAAAAACGCTCGCTTCCAGTACAAGCAAAACAACCTCACATTAAACTGGTGAACACAGAAAATACATACATGTACATAGACAAGAGATCAAGTTCTGTGAATAAACTTGCTGAAATCTTCTTGCAACATCAATGTGTTTTTTTTGACCTGCAGCTGAGGGCAGTGTGCGTGTACAGCCAGTCGTAGTGTAACAACGCTATTTGTATAGACTGGATGCCACATTTCCATCAAATGTTCTTTTGCATAAATGTGCATGGTGCGGTGGGAACCAGTGCAGCATTGAGCTTTGCACAAGTGTTTTCACCACTGCGACAGCGAAATGCGAAGGGAAATTGTGAAAATAATGGACCCGGCGAATATATTATAAGCACTGTAAACTTGGTGCTTTTCTGAGAGCTTGTGAAAAATTTACAAGCTTACTCTGAGGTGGGACTCGAACCCACAACCTCCTGCTAATATCTCCCTAATGCAAACAAAATCTTGAAAAATAAGGGAAGTTTCTTTTCAAAAGTTGCAAATTTAAGTTGGAAAAAAGAAAAAAAAACAGCATTCTAACGTGAAAAAAGGTCTTTGAGAGGTGTTTTGTCAGGACAGAAAAGACAACAGGATTCACTGTTTTTTTTAAAAGATTTTTAAAAATTTGTTCTAACTTGCTGATACAAACTCTAGGGTCGCGCTGAAAAATTACGGTTGGTCGGGAAACTGGAAGCACAGGTATTTTTTTTTGGCTTAAGACCAACACAAAAACTTCTATAAATGATATTTTTGATTGAAGCAATACACCACGATAAGTAAAGGCACAAATGTCTATCTATTGTTATGGTCCCCCCGAGAGAGCTAGTTTCCAGTGAAAACATGGTGGAACAGATAAAACTTGATTCTAGGAAAAAAATGGGAATTTGCAAAATGCAAAATCGGGATACCTTGATTTTTTTTATCCTTTCAACTGCACAGGCTGGACTTGAACCCCCAATATCCGGAATTAACCATAGGCCTTAAGATGGATGCTATGAATCGAGAGCAAACCTAAGGCACTCGGGTGATTGAGTCGATACATGTACTCACCGCATGCCACGTGGATCCTGCTGTCAGCTCAGACTTCTCCAGGAGTACCACGTCTTTCATGCCGGCCTTGGCCAGGTGGTAGGCTATGCTGGTCCCCACACATCCTCCCCCAATGACCACCACCTCTGCTGTCTCCTTCAGCCTTTTGCTGAGCTTTCCGGACGTTGCTTGCCCATTGCTATGGAAGGAAAATTCCAAATGCTTTTTTCAATAAAAAACACTTAACTGTTCTAGATAAAATGTAAAAACAAGCTTGTTTAGCATTGTTTGCACATTTGGATGGGTGTGTGAACGGTAGTCCAAAAAAGGGAGCAGACACAAAATGACCTGAAAACGAGCTTAACCCCTTCGCGCCCAAAATTTCTTCCCAAAAGCTGACTCCAAGAATTCCAGCCTCGCTTGGCCACAAAGGCCACCTGCCAAACCGCAAATTCTCGGTTTGTGGCCCTGCGTGCTCTGCACACTTTGAATTACAATATGAAAAGGCTCATTGTTCGGTGGCATGCGGCTCTACTCACACTTCCACATTTCCGTTGCCTCTTTTCAAAGTGGGGACTATTGTGAAGTTGGTGATTATGATACAAATTCGGTCTTTTCATTTCTGGGCTACACACAAAGGCCAATCACCATATATACAAGAGCCAGGGTCTGCCTTCTTTCAACATGTTCGCTCGAGCGTGGGCCGAGAATAATAGCTGAAAAGCGGGCTGAAGATCTCAATTTTTACGTCTTTAGCCGCGTCCAGGCGCAAAGGGGTTAAGTTGTGATTAACTCTCTCACAAAAGCAACAGTCATATGGGCCATGACATAAATGGGTGGGGAACATGGTGAAACTGGTATCCCCCACCCACTTGAGAGTTGACCAACCTTCCCCACAGAAGCAATATGTCCCCCTCTAGCTCCTCCAACTTTTAAAAACCAATCAACACCCGTGACAGGAACTGTTAACGTACCTAGAATTAGACACGTTGTTCCCTGTGGAGAAAGAGGCTAAAGATGGCAGCCATGCGCGGCCCGGGTCATGGGCCAGACGCGACCTCAGGAATGCCTGCGTGATTCGTTGATGTAGCATGCTAGCCATCTCTCTGGCAGCAGTTTGTAGGAATTCACATGGACGAGATGCAACACAGTCAATCAATCACTCTCTCAATGCTGGCGCCGGATCATTCAAAAGCTAAATGATCAAAAACACAAACACACACACTGGCACTAAATTTTGGCACCAGTTTTTAATTTTCACTGAGTAATTACAGAAGATCATGAAATTCAGAAGAACTGAATATTTTCCTATTTTTAGTCTGACAGATTCACAATGTAACTCTGATCATGCTGAGTATTATCTTATCATGAAAAAAAAAACACTCAGTGCTCATTTGCTGCTTCACATGTGAGTTACAACCCAGTACTCAACGTACTCAAGAACAAGATTCAAGAACAGTCTTTTGGAAAATAATGTAAAGTTCCACAAATAGAGAGGCCTATCACTTTTTTCCCTTGTAGTGGTTTTTCTCTTGTAGTGGTGTACTAGCCACTAGAAAGTGATGTCAGTCCAAGTTAGCAGGGAAGATATTGAAGCATTAACTTAGTTGGTTTGTACATACATGTAAGGTGCCAAGAGTTGTCCATACATGTACATGTATCTGTGTGCATAGTGAAGGGAACTATACCCCAAAACTGTGCGGTTCGTCGTCCGCCGCATTCCCACATGCAGGGGACATCAAACCCCACAGAGCTGTTAACAGTGTTATGTCCCAACTATAGCATCAGCCCCAACTATAGCTGGTACTGTCCCAGCTGTAGTGCTGCAGTTAGGCAGACCAAACTACAACAGTGCATGTGCCAAAGTTATTTTGTTTCCATCCACAAACCGTGCTATTAGAAATACCGGTAGGTTTTAATTTATGTTAGGTCTATGTCACAGATGAAGGGTCACATTTCAGATGAATTACATCAAACATGAACTGCATCAACTCAGAGATGGCTGAGAAATTTTCGACAGAAACTCGCAAACAATAGTTGCCTCAGCTCAACTGCAGCACTATACATGTAGTTGGGATGGACGCTATAAACTTGGGACATAAAACAGAACTCTTCACGAAGTAAACACTTCTATTGAGGGGCTGCATGCTGTGCCCTCACAGAGGACATACTAGGCCTACTACTAGTAGTACTACGCTGGGAAGGGCATCCAAGACTGTTGCAAAATGGCAGGTAGCAACCACATCACGCCAGTGAAAATAACTGCAACCATGGTTACGCACATGAACCAGCCAGTCAGAAGATCAGGGTAGGGCCTACTCAATCTTTTCCTTGATGACAGTATGTAGGCGCGCACGTCATAGTTGTTTTCACCAGCAACGCGGTGAGGTTACTACTATACTAGTAGTAGTACTCTACTCGTCATTTCCCAGATGTCCGCCATGTCCTCTGTGAGGGCGCTGCAGGCCCTAGCCCATTAGCCTAGTAGTATATAGTAGGCCCTACTTTTTAAATTCAACATTTCTGCGATAACTTAATCTAAATTTACCAATGCCGACCGCAGGGAAAATTGTGATGTCCGTATTATCAAACTTCACGAAATCCATGAATACACAACATGTATCTTTAACTTACCGCCCCAACGGAAAATACAGCCTTACAGGTAACAACGTACATGTACATAGCATGTTGATACATGGAGCTCTGGTCCACATGCCACCGGTAACCAGGTCGCTCTAGCGCCCCCACTGTGTCGAAATCAACAGGCTACGGCTGCTAGCTGGGGCAACACAGGGGGCTGTCAGCCACGGCGGGTACGTGTTTCCAGCCGTAGCCACGACTTTTGGACAGCCAAAGATTCGATTTGAATCATGATCCCGATGACACTATTACAATGCTTCACGTTCGCGGATCTAGATCGGGCAATACTAGTTGGCTATACCCCCCAGAACTGTTGTTCTTCTAACTTTTTGGTGAAATGATTCTACAGGTTTTTCTGTTTAGTAATCTTTAAGAAGAGTTAGCGATTGACATAGAGGCTACCAACCCACTTAATCACCCGAGTGATGCATAATTTATTAAGTTTCTCATTTTTGTACCTTCGCCTGACCGCAAACCTTTTTTGTAACCTTATACCCATGGAAAGAAATTAACCATTTCAACTCCCAGTTTATAATATCGTCATGCAACGACGTGATTCTGTATCGCAAGTGGTCCGTTCCCGTGAAGGTTGCAAAACCATGATTCACTTCAGGTAGGCTGAGTCGACCTGTACTGGCTTGACTCCCATAACGACTGAGCCCAGTACACACTGTGTCTCATCATCTTCAAGATCCTACAGGGTGATTGCTCCAGCTCATTTAGGTGATCTTGTCCAGTCCTGTGCCCCAGGTCATCGGGGTTGAAAGTCACCCAAAAACATCCTACTGGAAAAACTATGGCTAATCATCGTTTGGGGGAGAGAAGCTTTTTCGGATTGCAGCACCCGAACTTTGGAACTCTTTTACCGGAAAATGTGAGACTATTGAGATCAGTTGACACATTCAAGGACGGATTAAATTCATATTTGCATAGACAGGCATTTGGTTAACATTCCTCAACTTATCGTTATTATTGGACCTCTTTGCTTATTACCGCCATTTGTGCCCGTGGTTCGCGGCGGATAGGCCTACTGGTGCTCTAGAAATTGTCATTCATTAATTTCGGTCTAGACTTACCGGAATGCTGTTGTATCTTCAGTGGTCGTTACAAAGTTTAGTAGTGATTTAAGTGACAAACAATGGCCAGTGTATGTTGCAAGCTCATACTTAGGTTCTCGCACGCATTTCTAACAGCTGTTAAGATGAATGGCAGTAATCATGCACCATATAAATTAACGTACCTAGGCCTGCATGGGCGGAGTGTATTCCTGCCGAAACAAATAAACCTGAAGGAGTGACTCCTTGTGGAATGGATAAATTACTCTAGGCCTACACAAGGACCTATCACTGTACACGTATTGCAGGGCCTAGAAAGATATCATGCCTACCTTAATTTTTCCATTTACCCAGTCTCGTAGTGATGTCGCAGGAACAGAAAGCAGTATTAAGTTGATAAGCAAAGGTCCGCCCAATGCTTGCAGGTCAGAGTGCCAGAACCGGCTAGTATGGTCCAGTGCACTCCAGTTGGAAATGTCAATACATCTGATAAGCACCTGGTGCCTGATGTTTTCAATCTAGTAACGGCGTCGGGTGGGCATTACCCGGTGTCGATTCTAGCTATTATTCGATTCAAATTCTCAGTAAGTTGCAGTCACATGATGCTACAGACTTGTTCCAGGTCGGTTCTCTCCAACCCACAGCCCCTGAAGCACATTTTTTTTCCTAGGAGGGTCATGGGCAATAATCATAATGGGTGCGGTTAACTGCAAGCTCGATCAATTTAGTGGACACTTAGGAACTTAAGTTAGGTAAATTTCGGGCTTTACTTTCTAATTATAAAAACATCCTTTTACCAACTACCCCCAAGAAAAAAAAATAATAAAAATAAATAAAAATAAAATGGGAATAACTTCCTGCATGAAAACCCTTGCCTTGCCGCTTACAAGTCAAGCGCCCTTCTAACTGACTATTACCGAGCAACTGGCCGAAAGAGCAGTTTTGCTGTGTTAGGCTTAAAAGTTCGTCGACCTCATTTATTATAAATGCCCCCAACTGTCCTACCAAAAACGCATGCACAACGGTTCAGATACACCCATTTTATAATAATTACCCCTAACCCTCCTAAAAACAATAACACGTCCCTGAAGGCTTAATTTCTTCACTATGCCTGCCGTAATATAAAGCTTTCAGTGGCAATATGCCACTGGTCAACACAGTTCACGATAAAAAGGACTGGCCCACCTTGGCCCTGGGATATTCTTCTGTTTGGGTGTCGTGATCGACTAGTACATGTCAAACAAAATTACTTAAAATAACTCTGTTGTTGTCCAGTCTTATCACTGCACGTTATCAAAGGTCTGCCCGGTCGTATAATCGATACCATTTGTACCGGACGTGTTTCAATAAAGTATCGATTATTGCCCACTGTTATGAATGAAATTATAGCGTGGCTCCTGGGGAACAACTCTGTCACTCGCTCTGTGCTCTTGCCTGGGACTGGTTGCCACAACCGTGCTCTGAAGCAACACCGTTTTGTGTACCAGCTGTCGTTCTTACGTACGAAACCGTGCAAACATGCCGAAGAAGGTAATACTGTTTTCCAAATTTAATTTTCAAACCATTTGACTCCGTTCTCAAGGGATCATTACTACTTGTCCCCCCTCGTATTTATCATGCGCTGTCCCCAGATATATAGTTAGGCCCAAGTTAGAAAGTTTGTAAGTCACATTGCTACAGTGACCCCACATGGAAAGTTAATCACTGGTGTGCCACAAGGCCCCTACCAATGTGTCAGGGATTGTCATAAAAACCGTTGATTTCGGTTCTGCGAGTTGAAGTGGCGTGCTGTTGCTGCTAGAACTCCGGGGCTCGTTGTCTGCTGCGTTCCCACATTCCTGTGACAACCCCAAAGTCCCAGGGGGCAGGGGGACAGCTAGGGGAGGTAGCTAAATAGCTGGTATAATGTTCAGTGCAACCTTGAATCTTGCGTAAAATTAGTGTACTACAGAGTTGATTTGCCTTTGAATAAAATCCATTCGTAGGACAATCTACTCAGAGGGGAGTACCAATAAGATTTGGAAGAGCCTCAACAGTGCCAGACGTATCGAGGGGCCGGCATTAGGGGCTAGTTACCCCCATCATGTTGTTGATTTGAATTTATTTCTTTTAAAATTTATTTTCAGGAATTGAAAACACTCATACTTTCTGAACCGTATACTTACACCTGTGGGGGAGGATACATTTACGACGGTTGGAAAAAATGGACTATTCGCTTTGAGAAGAAATCCCATTTCCACCCCCTCCCCACCCGCGAACCCATAACTTGGATACGCCACTGGGCCTAAGATTTCAATTTAAGTGACGAGATCTGAGGCCTCGGATTTTATGTTGACGTAGTCAGTCGTAGAGAGTATTAGTGTTTAATAATGTAATCCAATGCATAAAAAACAACATTTTAAAAGAAATGCAAAATTGGAAAATACATATTAGACGAGTATAAATTGGAAATTTTGATCGAAGAGCAGTACCAATTATTTATCATCAACCGTCTGCTTTGTAATGAGAGTTCACGGCTGGAACAGGCTGTTGGTTTTCTTCCCTCTTGTCGAAAAATGTGTTTTTTTCTTCCCCCATGTTGCAAAATGTGCTGAATTTCTGTTCCGTGACGGAATTTACCCTGCTACCGTATATCATTGAAACGGCTTGCATCGTAAAACGGGATTTTTTTCATGCTAGTGATGCAAATTAAAGGTTTATTGACAAAAATTGGTCAATAGATACGTTGGCAACATCTGGACAGGATAGCTCGTTTTAGAATATGGTTTGAAGCTTGTGCTCACAGTAGTGCACCTGCATCAGAAACAGCGAACTAATGATATTCAAATTTATCGGAGCGGGAAATTGTCACCCATTTGCTAATTTACCTGCATTAAAAGTAAAACACCAGAATAATGAAGAAGAATTTTACGGATGACAATTCCACAGGGAATGACGGAAAATTGCAAATTGCCTGCCCAAATGATATACTTGTGACCTGAATGTTAGATTGCATGATGTTCTTATCTACTGAATATCATTTCGTCTTTTTAAAGTCTGGTACATATAAATTAGAACCATGGGTCCGTGTTCAAAGCTCTTTACACCGCCATGGTATGGATATTATAATACGGGGACGTGGTTGTAGTTTGCGATGTGTGTTTACATGCTTAGTGTGTAACCTGTCAGGTTTTATACTTTGGCCTTCGAAGTGCTCAGACTATCGCTTCAGATAACCTTTGACACGATAAACACAAAGCCATGGGGGTGTTTGCTGAGCCGGTATTTAATCTGCTGGGCATATTGTGGGCGTGGCGTTCCAAGTTCAGTTCATCCAGAGCCGACTAGATCGTTCCGGTTATTTCATTAGAAGGTTGTTGCTGTCGGTCTTTAAAATAGGTTGGTTCTTTTTAGTTTCTAGTACAGAAACAAACTGGATGCGGCCTGTCCTAAGCGGACACCGTGCACAAAAAACAGAGGCGGGTAAATTTAGCTTTGCCTGATGCGTCGGGCCGGTCGGAGACCTCTTCGTCTCTCGAAAGGGCGATGTATGATGGCGGGCACAGCTGTGTGGAGAAAGCTGCGACAGGAGTATTTCAATTGTTGGGACCAAAAAAGTGGAGTATGCGTCAATGCATATGGATAATAAGCACACACGCACAAAATAGCCGCATGCAGTACTGCACACACAATGAACAGCAATTTTGGTTCCCTAGTCTGAAGTTGGCGCTTCTCTCTCTCTCTCACATACAGCTCTAATGCAGAGCAGCTCTGATGCAGAGCAGCTCAGATGCAGAGCAGCTCTGATGATGCAGAGCCGCGTAAAGAGAAAGTTGCGACATGACTTGGAAACAAACCGGGAGATATACGCGGCAGTGCACTCAGACAGTTTGTATAGAGCGTGACACCTCACTGTTCCAGTGATGTCACGCTCGTGCTGGACCTATGATGTGTTGTGATGGTAACGAGTGCATTGTGTTGTGATGGTAATCTACTTATTCAAAATAAACCAGTCAAACATGCCGTGTTCGCACGTACCCTTGCACGTGGTAGAAGCTGCTTACAGGAATGCGATCACCGTGGCCAACGCGCGGTCTACACGTGACGGTATTGTTTACATTTGGTCACTTGGGTGAAAAAGGTCTGTACGGTAGCCGCACGCCTAACTATACACGGCCATAATGAACAGCCATTTTGTTTCCAAAAACATTTTCGTAGTCACAGACATACATTACGAACATGCTCACTGTTTCAGGCCAGTCCGTTCCATTAGAGGCCTCCTTTTTAGTTTCTGAAACCGAGGCCGTGAAAACCCCAACGCAACAGTTTGAGGGGCATTATTCATAAAAACTTCGGCCAGACACAGTCCAGTGGTCCGAGCGAGGGGGTTATGACCAATACGCTCGGTTGGCATATCGGTTACTGAGTTATTAGAGCGAAAAGAATCTTTAGTGAAAATGTTCTCTTCACTGAATACCACCAGCAATACTATATTCTGGTGGTTGTTCGATTCATGTACCATAAATACCAACCATAAAGCTCCCCGCAAATTATGCGGGTTTAGGCTGACAGGAGAATTTCACGACACAGATGAACGACTGGAGCTATTAAATGGGGAATGAATGGACTCAGCACGGACTAACATTCAAATTAGAAAAAAAAGAAAAAAAAACAAACAGATGTCTGGTTTTCTCGCAGGCTGAATTTTTTCATTCAAATTTTCCTCGATCCATAAACAACGTCTTGCAAAGCTGAGATGCCTACGGTCATGGAAACAATCACTAAATTGAATTGATTATTTATTTCCTCCGGATCCCCCGCCCCCTTATCTCCGTCTGGAGCCGCAGGAGGAGGTGGTGTAATTTTCCAGGTTTTGTGCTAACTTTGCAGGGTCTGCTTGAGAGGTTGGACACCGGGGTAGTCATCGGCGACGGTGGTTTCGTTTTTGCTCTGGAGAAGCGTGGCTACGTTAAGGCCGGTCCATGGACTCCAGAGGCCACCGTAGAAAACCCTGAAGCAGGTGTGGATTGATGGTATATCCAAATTCGGGGATTTTGTTGAAAAAAAAACAGTCTAATTTGTTTTTCATCCATATAACCGTTTAAATGGCAACGTGCCTCGGAGGTGGGCTTGGGAAATCGAGATGCCAGCCGTGTGATTTTGAAGTCATCGGCTCAGCGTTCCCTCACCTTAATTTGCACAGGCCCCTTGTCAATGGTTCACTGAACCCCAACATTGAGATTGGTTCCATTCCTGTTTGAATATGCAGTGACTTGTAAAATAATGTGAAATCTAAAGCGAAATACGAAATCACCGCCGTTGTAAAAAATTGGTTTTTTATGCGGGTAATGGGACGTGTGTTATGGCCCACACATGCCAAACCTCACGCACAGTGGAGTAGCCATTTTGCATGTATTAGTAGGGCCATTTTCCAATACTCGATTCGGTTCCGTCGGAGGCTTCAACTGTTTTTTATTACCCGACTTTGAAGTTGTAGGTGCAAAGGGAAGTCTGATAGTGCCACAAGTAAGATGCAAAAGAGCCAAACATCAGAGTACTTTAATTTAAACGCGTCAGGCCCGGGCCAACAATTAGGGTTTGGTTTCGGAAACGAAGCCTGAGACAGAAAACTCTTGGAGGCGCACTATTGTGAATCACACGTATTAGGCCTACATATACAAATCCAGCGAGGTTTCCCTGCACATTTTATATGGCCACTGTTAGTAAAATAATTATCACGGGAAACATTTTGTTCAGTTTTTTACTGCCATGGAGCAGTGGCTTCGTATTATCTCAGCGCTTACTGCCATAGGCGTGTACCACCATTTAATGACCAGTGATAGCGTTGCCATAGTCACCGGATTCGTCTATCTGTCTAAAGAACACAATGTTGGGGGGGGGGGCTCAGCTTTATCTCCGTTTACGACATAATCTTGTCCCCCTACCACACTGGAGTTTTGAGCTGCGTAAAATGTTTTGCTAGTGGAGCTAAGAATTGTGTTTAATGAAATAAAGATATAAGTATTTTAGATGGTATACAGCTGCTTACACCTGTTCTACATCTGTAGGGCGTATCAAAATAAAGGAAACTCACATTCAACTACTATTTATAGAAAAAAAAACAGATTTCTTAATTAAGCATTATATGTCTCCAGAAAGGCCTGAATGTGTTCTTTCCAGTGACAAGTTGATCATGCGCTAAATGTCACGGTTGAACGAGTAACATGCATTGTTGACCGGCAGGTGAAATTTGCATTGCGAGATGTAAGCAATCACTGTAAAGTAGATGATGCACAATACAATACAGGCCAATACAAACAAGCTTTTTTCCAACTAAATTATGATTGAATTTGGGTTTCCCTTACCTTGATACGCCCTGTATATTGTTCAGTCCGTCAGCTTCATCGAGATTTCCTCAGGGCGGGATCGGATGTCATGCAGACCTTTACTTTCTACGCCAGCGATGACAAGTTGGAAAACCGCGGCAACAAGGCTCAGCAGAAATACACGGTGAGAGAACACAAAATGCACACTTCAACAACCCCCTTTTAAAAGGATATTCCTTTTCCCGCTTTATCATTAATGGAAGCTATCGAATTATCAAAGTCGAGAGAAGAACCTTTTAGTAAGCTATGCTATGGTCTGTTTGCATTGCAAGAGCAAAAAATGAAACTCGAACCGTACAATCATTTAAATGCCCGTGACTTACCCGGGATTTTTCAAAATCTCTTTTTTTGTAAGTACATGTAATTATGAGAACACTGCATGTGTTCTTGTCTATAGTTTAAAATTTTGCTTGATGGGGAGGTGCCATGACTGTTCTATCCTGAAACATTTTTCGATGCGTGGACGCAAATTCGTTGATAATGCAGCACCAGTGAGTGTCAAACCCCTCGTTGTCGAAAAGTGAGCCACGAAGGAGTAAAAATTCGACTCTTATAAAGAGACACAGAGTAACCCTGTGGGTTTTGCCAAGCTGACAACAAATCTTGCCGAATCTGCAGGGAGCCATGATTAACCAGCGAGCTTGCGAGATCGCCAGGGAGGTGGCCAACGAAGGAGACGCGCTGGTGGCTGGCGGCATCTCCCAAACGCCCACCTATCTGACGGGGCTGGGCAAGGAGGCCGTACAGAAGGAATTCGAGAAACAACTTAAGGTCTTTGTGGATAACAAGGTGGACTTCATGATCACTGAGGTTAGTGACAGATACCTGAACATGATTGGGGAAGAATCGAGAGACAACAGCACGGGTTTAGGAACCCTTCCTGGAACTCTTGAGAAATAAAATGATTGAAGATTTTTTGAAGCGTCAGACTTGACGCAACAGCCAACACGAACGCGAAATTGTGACGTTATGATCAAATATTTGCGTTGCGAATTCGCAGTCGAAAACATTTCAACTAGGGTGAAATGTTGCTACAGATTTTTTGTTATGTCAAAATTCACTTTCTTTTCGCAGTTGCCTGAAGTATGAAACCGGCCTTTGTGTGCAAATAACCACACAAAACACGTCGTGCCCGCGTTTTATCCTTTTCAAACCACAGCAGGCTGTCACATGCATTTTTATGGAAAATGCACGATGTCTCTTAATGGAGGCTTGGATAAGCGCGCCTTTGATTTCCATTCGTAGCGGACTGAGCCTTTTCTTCACCATTTAGCCCCTCTGAGAGCATCGTCTTCAAATTGCATTTTTGGTTTTTCTACAGTACTTCGAGCACGTCGAGGAGATTGTTTGGTCCATTGAGTCCATCCAGAAGATGTGCCCAGGAATGCCCATCTGTGCTACCATGTGCATCGGACCGGAAGGCGACATGCACGGCGTGTCAACAGGCGAGTGCGCGGTCAGGATGGCCAAGGCAGGTTGGTAATTATAACGGATGCTTGTTTTGTTTCTAAATTGGCCCTTCTAGAAATGCTTCTATATCCCACATAAAAGTTCGCCTCAACCACGATGGCGGCTATTCCATTTTTGTGCCCAGTTTCATCGTTGCGAGTCTGATCTGATGTATAGTCGAGGCCGGCAGACAATTCATAGCTCTTCAGTGTGAAAATATTCATTTTGTAGGAGAGATCACTCTAGTGTAAATAAAATATTCTTCAGTGATTCAATTTAGCATCTTCAAGTAACTTTATAAGGAACATGCTCAAATAGTTACATCTGCGTATAAGGTTTTCATGTTTTATTTTATGGATAGAGTCAGACTTAGTCGAGCTATCTAAAAATGGGCAAAGTCAAAGAAAATGCAAACCAATACATATCTGGTTCAATAAAAATCGATTAAAAAATCTTCAGGTGCTGACGTTATCGGGATCAACTGCCACTTCGACCCAGACATTGTCCTGGCCGGCCTCAAGCTGATGAAGGAGGCTCTGACCAAGGCCGGCTACAAGAAGCACTTGATGGCCCAGCCATTGGGATTCAAGACACCTGATGCCACCAAGCAAGGATTCATCGACCTTCCAGAGTTTCCGTTTGGTAAGCTGTGGACCCCTTGGGTTTCTTCCAGGCTTCAGTGGCCCAAATTTGTATTGATAGGCTCCACACCGATTTCCAGAGCTGTATTCTGCGCGCGTGCAGCGTTCAAAATTTTACATTCACTCTCCACGTTGGTTCAGAATATACGCATGCGCGCGAGACGAGGTTGTTAGATAACCAATGAAACACAAAGATCACTGTTGATACAACTTATACCACTTTTATAGGCTGATATCCTTTGCTTACCAATAACAGAGCCGTAAACTGGGCAGAAATCATGCTTAACAGGTTTTTACTTTCCTTGGCAAGCCACCTAGGGCTGTTATTAATCTGTGCGTCGCGACGGGATTTTTAAAATTCCCCCACAAGATCACCGTGTTGATTTTTAGATTTTTATTCCGAGAAATTATAAAAATTAAAAATTCTTATGGGAAGATGGAAATCAATATTTTAAAGGACTTTAAGCGAATTTGAGAAAACTCTTCAGGGCTTCAAGTAAGAAAGAAAATAAACCAACAAGATTCAAAACATCTTGTACTTTCAAAACAATACAAAAGTCAGAATTCGTCCGAAAAATTCTGTTCCAAATTTGTACAAATCAGTCACTCCTTCAGTTCAGATAATGTTCGGGTTGGATTTTCCCACCTTTTACTAGTTAAAGGAGGTTATTAATTTTTTTGCACTGTTTGGCAGGTCTGGAGCCGCGTATCCTGACTCGATGGGACTGCCACAAGTACGCCAGGGACGCCTACGAGCTCGGGGTGCGCTTCATTGGAGCCTGCTGCGGCTTCGAACCTTACCACGTGCGAGCCTTATCCGAGGAGCTGGCTAAGGAGCGGGGTCGCCTGCCCGCCGGCTCAGAGAAGCACGGTCCTTGGGGAGATGGGCTGAGACAGCACACCAAGCCATGGGTGAGAGCAAGGTAAGACATCATAGCTTATTCCGTTGAAAAGGCCGGGTACTGAAATCAACTTAGTACTGGCAGTGTATTGACTGTTGAGAGAGGCCCACTGTGACTTGTATCCCAAGTGCAAATTAAGGGTGAAATGGCAGTAGTGCTCTTTTATACAAACAATAAATGGACCATTCAATAAATCAAAGAAATAGAATTAGCCTTCAGCGTAAATTCTGAGTTATATGAGAGACGGTGACGTTAGTTTTATATTTACTTGAAGTATTAAGTTTTGAAGGCTCCACTTAAAGGCTGCACGGATCTGCAGCAGCAGCATAGCCAGGGGAGTGTTGAGGCGTCTTTTTATATGTACGTTTTTATGGTGTGTTGTGTACACGATGCGTTGATGCGTTTCACTTTCACGTGTGCGTTGCATTCGGCCATCAAAATCGCCCCAGGAGCGATTTGGACGGATACCAATAAGCAACACCCATCGCATGTGCTGACGTAAATTTGGGAAAGGGCCTTTAAATTGAATTGAACAAGACGGAGACTTTGAAATCAAAACCAGAACGCTTGTTTAGAGGAAAATCGGAACGTTGATGAAGTGACGTCGGGACCTTGAGAATGAATCAAACGGGGCGACATATAATTCGTCAGGCAAACGAAACCCTGCCCAAGTGCCTGACGTGCAGCAACAGCAGTGCAAGCTTACTAACTTCTGGGGTTTTCGGTCTGGTTTCCTTTTTCTCTGAAGGGCCCGTCGTGAATACTGGGAGAATCTGAAGCCGGCCAGCGGTCGGCCGTACGCCGCTGGCTTGTCCAAACCGGACGAATGGGGCGTTACTCAGGGTGACGACCTGCTCAAACAACAGGCCAAACTTACCAGTGACGAGGACCTGAAGAAGCTCTGGACCAGAGACTGAGACTTATAATAGTGTTGTGTCGTTTGTCTTCTGAAAGCTGCAAAGATAATGCTGAAAGTGTGTCCAAGATATTGCTTATGTTCCTCTAGCTTTAACAAAGCCTGCGGGTTAAGGAATTGACCAAAGGCGTCAGTTGTTTTGATAACGATTTAGGATGATTTTTCATAGAGATAAGTCCCTACGTATAGAAATCAATACTGTATAACACCCTGTGTATTTTTCATTTGTGCAAATATTGTCTCTTTGCATTTCTGCCCAGACCAGCTTTTTACTGCATTTAATTGCACGGTAACTCAAGTTTGCTGTATTGTTATTCTCTGGATGTCTGGAGGTGTACAGAAACCGCAAACAGCTTATTTTGTTCGTAAACTATTTAGCACCAGCGTGTCTGACAGTCTATACGTACCAGACGTTTCAAAAGTGGGAAAGTTATTTGATTCGTTCAATTTTTGCTAAACTGCAGTCATCAAAGATATTGGTAAATATTTTAAAGTAAAGTAATCGATATTCGAGCATTAAGGAATATCAATAAAAACAAATGTTACAAAGATCAGACGGGACAAGTGCACTCGGTCAGTTTGTACTTTTTTATCTGTACTTGTATCTTGAGTTTCTACATTTCAGAAGAACAGGTTTCAAGAGCTACACCAGAATGGCTTTAGATAATTTTTAAAGCCAACATTCAGAATGGAGTTAGAAAACAGACATGTTGAAATTGTTATCGTTGTGAAATCGTTCACCATACAGTAAGTTCAGTTTACATAATGAAAAATCTTATTGACCGAAATTTGTACCAAAACAATGAAATTAGTGTGCACTGCCATCTTCACTATTCTCACGCAATATATTTTTTTTCTAAATGTACTTTCCCAGCACCCTTATTTAGTACCTAACAGAAAACAGCTATACTTATTCAATCACAATTAGCTTTAGAGTTGAGAATAACCCTCCTCGCGTACATGTGGTCATAGTGTGGCTGGCTCACTTCAATGGCCAATCGGACATCCTGTGGGAGGGACTCAACGTCAATGTGGCGAGGGGCGGGCTTTTTGAATCCAGAACTCTTGAGGGCTCCCTCATACCACTGCATCATCCAGTTCGTGAGCCGCAGCGCCCTGCAGCAGTGCCACCTCAGGTCGCCGCACCGGGCCGGTTCCCATTTCACCATGGTCTCCTTGAAGGGCAGCGCTGTGAACCGGCAGTACTGCCTCATCATCTCCACTGGATCGTCCAGCAGGTCGTCGGCATCCATCACAAACGTCGGCAACCCCAGCCCCGTGACGTGATCGTAAAGGTCTCGCAATTCCTTGTAGGTGTATCCCTCGGTCATGACGCTTCGGATGTCCGTCCCGGACATGGCCGCGCTGATTTTCGATGACTCCAGCCGAGGCTTCAGCGAGGCGAACACCTTGGTCGGGCTGCGCACTAGGAACGTGTGGCAGAATCCCTCGGGGATCAAATGGTAGCGCCCGACGAGCGGATAGGTGAAGTCCTTGGCGAAAACGCCCGCTCTACCCGGATAGTCGGCCTCTAACCGTTGTTTCACCCACTTGTAGGAGTGATTAGGGGCCAGGTAGATTCCTCGATCCCGGGTCCGATCCGGGCCGAAGAAGAAGGCCGCGGTGAACTCCTCGTTGAAGACTTCGACGTCATCAAGCTCTAGGATGGATCGGGTGAATGCCGTGGAGAGACTACGGGGACATGTCCATAGCATGACCCGAGCGGGTTTGGTGTCTCCAGTCGACATTGTCCTCTAGGATGTTATCAAGGCAGCTTTCGGCACTGATTTAGTCTTAAGTCTGACAATGACTGCTCCGGCTCGATGTCTTTTGCAAACTGTACATCAGTGATACATTTGCGTACTAAATAAATCCTTGCTAACCCTGATAATTACTCAACTGTGGCAGAAAGTCGTTTCGTTTTATCATGGCACCCGCGCATTTTGTTAGATTCCGGAACTGATTTGACGTCGTACAAAAGCAAAACAGACCATAAAACCCATGCACATTAACTTTTATTCATCGCCGGAGTTAGTAGACACATAGCTGTATTACCCTGCTATTCCGTTAGCTATTATTTTGAAGTGTGGCGGACAGCGTGGGAAGGCTCTGTGTAGTCTGGGTGAAATCTGTATTTTTGTTTTTCTAAAAAAAAAAACAACGTTCGTGCGGCATTCCACTGGATGGTTCATGTTTTAATGTCGAAGGAAAATTTGAAAGAGGTGGATTTGTAACATATATACACCTACCTCAAATAGTGCTAACGCTCTCCTAATAAATCAAAGTTCTCATCCTAAGCACAATCACAATATTGGTGGCGCTATATTCCTGAACTCACATGTGATGCAGCCACTGGGGATTTTCGGGCAACGATTTATTCAAGTGACATAGGGAGCTTTGGGGAATTTTTTTCAGGTCTTGTATGAAACAAAGTGATTAATGATTCCACATTTATTTGATGGAGAAGATAATTTCATTCGGTGATTTATGGAAATATTTCAGAATACTTTTAAAACGATTTTTTGTTAAGTGCTGGAGCATTGTCGCAAATTTTCAGTTGCAGAACGTCCCCATTTTGAAGCGTGCCATTAACACACTTTCCCCAACATAGACCCATTCTACTCTCACTCTCATATTTTTCGGTTCATTATTTTACTTTCAGACGCCTGGCGACCAAGACCCCCCATTTTCTTTGACTTTTCTCTTGTATAAAGGGTTATGTTTGCCTATTGCAACATTTAATTTCGTCCCTGTTCAAGTTGATTACAAAATTTGGCTACAAAAACACTAGTAAGATAACACATATTTTCAGTAACAGGTTTTTGCCCTTACACCAACGTACAACACTAGATACACATGAGTGTTCGTCATTATCATCAATTATCACTGTCCAGATTTTGCATGCCTGTCCTGACACTGCGTCGACGCCAGCATCCGGATAAATATCACTTTGTTATGTTTTCAGGCCCTTTGTACTTCGCGATTCTATGCCCTCTTGTCTAGGGGGTCTTTTCCAAATATTGCAAGGTTCATGCACTGTTCCCAGTAGTGGGAATAGTGCATGTAACTTCTTTACAAGAACTGTAGCGGTAACTTCTGTGTATGCTGATTTCGAACAGCCGTCACAAAATCGATTAGCATGGAAACCTTTCATCCTCACACGAAACCATTACAACTCTGAGCACGCAATGGGAAATCATTCAGGCATGGTACGGCATATAGGAAACCCACAGTGAATGTCTCCAGGAAAAACAATTTTTTTTTTGGCTTTGACGGTCGAGCCAACACAACTTTATGTACTTCACTTCAGAGTGCGGAGGCCGTGACCGCAACAACTCACGCGGATATCCTAGTGCAAACTGCACAAAATTTTAAGAGACGCATTCTCGATCTCGTGCACTTTGCTTGCGGAATCCAAGAGGAAGATATCGACATGGGTACATCGGTGTTTGGACCAGGCTTATGGATTTTCATTTGTCGGCAATATTCGTGTCCACTGACGTAGCAAGTTTGCCCTCGCCTCTGCGTGGTCACCATTTTGTTTTCGGTAAGACATCTTTACTATCAAACCCATACCAGCAAACAGGTGAATACGTACGTGACATTAACGAAATGGACTTTGTGCTTGCGCATTATGACCTCTTTGAAGTTCGTCGACAGAAGCGCAGAGAGTTTGAAATTCTCCATGCTTATGTTTCTTAGTTCGGGAGCAGTTTTACAGAGACCATTTTCCGTGAGAGAGTAGCCAAACAGCAACAACATATTTAACGGAAAACAAGCAATAAACAAAAACCACCTTGTAGAAATCGCCAACCACACTGAAAAAGCCTTCTTGAATCACGATCGTTACTTGGAAACCTAAGAGGACCCGTATCATGTAACGAGCTGAAACACATAAACCTGTTAAAACCAGGACCTCACTATGACTAGAGGTCAGGAACAAGTACTAGGTCCTCGTGGTATTCATTTGATCAACATGTAATTTTTCTTTGGCCGCCCTGTGTCCTGCGGGACGCCCGAAATATAACTCGTAAGACAGTGGTGCACACAATCTGTGCAGGGACTGAGGGGATAAAAGATAAACTTAAATACAAGAATCACCCAGCAGTGCCAAATTCGAAAAGCGGAGGGGGAGGGGTTACTGGACACCGCACCAGACTAAGGGCGCTGTTCAAGATGCAGATGTGAATCTTACGTATACCCTTTGCTCTATGCGTATACTTACATCCCTTTATTGCGTAACATCAAAACGGTGTTCAGCACTACTAATAAATTTGGGTTTGGGGGATTTTCCAAAAAACCTCAAGATCTGCATTTTTTTCTCATCAAGAAATTTGGGAGTTGATCAAAGAGACCACCCCACGGTCACAGAAGGGGGCTATAGTACACCCCCATCCTCGGGATTCACACCCCTCACGTAAAATGATCCAAAAGTTTTAGTTTTGTTAACATTATTTAGACATTAAAATTGCCGAATCATTGATATGAATACCTACATGGGATACATTCGGCTGGTTTCAGATTACTGTACACTTGTTTTCAATGAAAATCTTTCCAAAGAGCAGTTGCATAAATCAGAAAGTACATTGTACTCAGAGAAGGGTGTGTCGCTTCATCTTTGAAAAGGATTACCGGCATACTAGAGTTATGGCGATGCCTTAACCGTGAATGAACATGGAACCCTTGAGAAACGAAGTAAACAAGTATGTAGAGATTTTCTGTTTCGATCCAGTTCCATCAAATGTATAAAGATTGTTTACCACCGGAAAGAAGCGTTCTTCTTCAGAAGAAGGCACAGCGAGAATGTCGCGCAAAAGGTTTCGGTGACAGATCGGTGCATAGTCGATGTCTTAAATACTGTGCATAGTCGATGTCTTAAATACTTTGTAACAAATGTTTAACTGTGATCTCACTCGTCAGTAGGTTTTCTTTAATATTTTCACATTTTTAAAATGTGATGTTGATTTTTAGTGTTCATTTAGCTTAGTTATTTTATATTATGTCCATATGTCGATATTTAATGTAACGATTCATTCGGTAAAGTTGCTTGAGGGATCTTAGTTATATTTTTTTTTATGTCAACGTGCCATTCAGTTTTTTTTCTAAATACTTCTAAATAAATGTATTTCTAAATAAACTATTTTGAATTGAATGAATTTTTATAAAGTGAACAACCGTGGCAACATTTTCCCAAGAGTAGGAAAACATACTCTGTAGTCAAGAAGCGTGAACATGCGTGGGCGATGAATGTTACGGGTGCGCATGTGCATATGACATTAAGAGCAAAGCTGCTCGTACAGAACCCACAGCTTCGTTTTCAGCCATTGTGAATTACCTTTGGTAGTGAGTAACAAAATACACGAGCCCGAGGCTTTGGAGAATGAAATCCATTCCCACGACATTAAACTGGTTAATGTACTTCCTTGTGTTTTGTGTTTTACTGAATTCATCGGCACAGAAACTACAAAGTGGCTATGTGATCGCTGATAAATGTATTTGCGTATTGTGACGCCCGCAGGTGAAGTGTTTACTCCCGGGTGGGATCGGTCTCTTCTATTTCTAAGGGTTGCGTGTTTTTACCGATGGCGTCAAGCGCTGCGGCTGCACTGTAGGCCATAATACCCATGATCCATTGTCACACATAACGGTGAACTGTTGCGGTGAATTTCTGGTCTTCAGTGTACGTGTGATATTTGCCCACTTCCAACAAATCAGACGCATCATGATTAACTCCCAGAATTCAACCCCTCATAGGAAACTACTCCCTCAAAATATGATTAAAGTTACTTCACCATGGTAGTGGAAAACCATTATATCTGAATGGTGCAATACAATTCATCCCAGTGATACAAGAACTACAGTTATATAATCCCTATGAGAGTATTATAGCTCACAGTCAGTACCCACAGCTCTAAGTTGTAAACGAGGTAATTAAGTAATTCGCAATAAACATGCTGCGCACACCGCGTTGGGCGTCACAGTACTACCCCAAAGTGGTAAATTTAAAGTTGTAAGAGTATCTTTCAAGACATCTATTTTCAGTCCTTTGAACTGTTCGTAAACAACGAGATACACTCTTTTAAACTTCATTTTAAAGCACACTTTCAATAGTTATCAACGTGTTGTGCAAGACTCAAATAAGGCGTAAATAGAAGAAAAATAAGGGTTATTCAAATTGTTTTGCTAGATTTGAAACTATTTTTTTTTTTCAATCTTTTCATTTGTTTAAAAATTAAAGTTGTTTGGGATAACTTGTTAAACTTTCCACCTTCTTGGGGACACGATCATGTCTGTATTTAAAGGCCTGTTTATATTTTACGCGAATGCAAAATCGCAGCCGGATTTGGGCTCTCCGATTTAAAATCTCTTCTTTATTTTCAGAAATCGATACTGAACTTGACCATCACTCAGATGCCCACCACCGCGAACGGCGCAGAAGTGGCCGGGGCGAGGCTTTGGACACATGGGACTGCGACAACGTGACCGTGGTCCCAAACGACATACGCACCTCCTTCCCCTTAAACGAGTTCTACCAGAAGTACATGCATGCCTACGGTATCCCTATCTTGTCCTCCAATATCTCGCAGGACGTCTCGCTGATGCGCGCCTGCTACGTGGTCCGCTTCCTTCTAGCGGACCGCAAGGACTTGCGTGACGCTATGTACGATCGGTACGGCCGGGTGGCCGTCATCGCCAAGACAGAGCGCACGACCCAGATACCGGAACACAGTTACCTGAACAGCAACCTGTGGGACAGTCGTGCACGAGGGCTGGGCGGCTTCCCACAGGTACCCGTCACCACGAACGCAGAGGAGAACCTTCTGTGCGAGGATATAGCGTCAGATCCTTGGTTTGAAGAGGATGTCCTCGTGCACGAGTTCGCTCACGCCATACACCTCATCTCCTTGGATAGAGCCGACCCGTCCTTCGATGCGAGGCTGCAGACCATCTACAATATGGCCAAGGCGGAAAATCTGTGGCGTGATACATACGCCATCGTGAAAAGGACCGAATATTTCGCAGAAGGGGTACAGGGATTCTTCAACGTCCAGACGTGTAGTAGCTTCGTCGATGGCGTTCACAACCACGTCTGCACCAGGGAAGCATTGAGAGGCTACGACAGCAGACTATACAACCTTATTACGGAAGTCTTTCCCTGTATGAACACAATAGTAGACCGCTGTAATTCAACTCAGAGTGAGTATGACGTTGAACACTCCAAAAGGCAAACCAGCATCGGATCACTGGTAGCGATCCAGGTCCGCGTGAAACAAACAGGCGCTATAATAGATTCAACATGTAGGTCAAAAGTTACTAATTGGATTCCTCTTGGTTGTTTCATGTACACAAGACCGTGTCAACAACGGCAACAAACAAAAGCACCAGAGTTTTTTATTTTTACCGTGGCTCTGTCTAACATTTTTTCCAAAGGTCTGGCAGCAAATCAAGAGCTCCGCATGAATTGTGAGATTGTCACCACTACAACCACCACCGCAGAGGGTCCAACCACCACCCCCACCGACCTTACTACCACGGCCGCTACCACGGTGCTTACCACCAGTGTTGCCTCCACCACTACACCCCGTACGACCTCGGTCCCCCTTACGACCTCAGCCCCCTTTACGACCTCGGTCCCCCTTACGACCTCAGCTCCCTTTACGACCTCGGTCCCCCTTACGACCTCAGCTCCCTTTACGACCTCGGTCCCCCTTACGACCTCAGCTCCCTTTACAACTTTGTTCACAGACACCACCACGGATAGCGGAGCAACAGAGAATTTTACGGGCAGTGTGAGTGTAACTACTCAACTGAGCTCTACTAGTCACGCAACAACTGCGCCAGATAGTAAGTCTGGTTTCCTTTTCAATAACGGTCCACGACTTGACCAACAGGCGTATGCATGCCAATCACGCGCACAATACCTGGCGAAGAATCTAAAAAAATGACACAATTAAAATCCTCCCCGTATCATACTAACACTCGGGTGTGCGATGCATGAAGTCATCCTTCAGTATCAGATCTCATTTTACCATTGCAATTTGAATTATTGATAAATCAATGTCCGAATGTGGTAATATAAATTCCCTTCGATATTAAAACACTATGCACAAAAGCACAATGCACGAGCGACCAGCAGTCAACCACTGGCTGCTTTGTCTGGTTCACAAGTTGTTGCGTAAATTAATACCGGGTATAGTGGTTGACTGTATTTCAGTTACGGTCATTGATTGAACTTGACCTAGGTTTAAGCGGTTGAACAGTTGAGATGAAACCATAAGCAGGAAGTTGGGATGTAGCCAGTACAGGAAGTTGTTAAAGTACAGAGTGCATTATGCAGAATAACAAGACTGGTGAGCATGAGCTGATAGTGTGTATATCTGTCAGACGTGACATCTATCTCAACCCCGCTATCTTACAGAGTTCTGTGAGGAGGGCACAACTTTCGACATCGATGCTGGCGTCCTGACCTGGCCTGTGACTGCTGCTGGTACGAGGAGCCAATCCATTGAGGTGTGCGCCCTCGAAACTCAAAAGGGTAAGGGAAGAGTGAGTTCTTCGACGCACCTGGAAACGCTTGAGAGGATTGTAAACACGCCCGTGGACTGGTAACTCTTATGATCAAAAAGGTTCATTACTTCTAGGCAGAAAACCTTTTTTAAACGTCACTTCGTTTTTCATTGGGACCCATTTTCATCATTTTCCGTGTTTTTCACCTTACTCAAGTGCCCAATTTTCACACTTCTGTCGAATCCCCCTCAGGTCATCAGTGATACTGTCCGGAAGACTGATGAATCATTTGTATCCATCAGTTCGTTTCTTCAAGTTCGAGAGCCATTTGTCTGAAATGCGGTTCGTTTTTCACTCGGATTCAAATTTCCGCACTGAGTCCGACATGACCAACAGCGGTCAAAATGAGCTTCACGAATGTTAGGCATGGCATACACGTACACGTACACGCGCATCCATACGAGTGCGTTTCGGTACTAGTTGACTTTTATTGCATTGAACTAATACGTGCAACGACGTCAAATTGCCCGACTAAAAGGCCAAAACAAAAACTTTCTGTTCTCTTCCATACGGTTTCCTTCTTGCATGACACGTTCTCATTAGAGCTTTCATCCCCTCTAAATCCTCTAAAATCCCCTCTACAAAATGTTGGCTTCACTTTCAACTTCTGACTCTGTTACTTTTGAGGTACCTAAGATTTAAGACGGGCAAATATTTGGTAGAAAATGGATTTTTTTGCGAGTGCAAGTTAGCAAAAGGGATTTTGAGTGTTTAAATACTAATTGCTATGGCAATGAGGGGCAAACAACGTTTTCCGAGCTTGATGTTGATCGATTACTTTTGGGGTCCACCTGTCCGAGTCCAGAGCCATTTTGCTGGCTTCTGGCTGTAGTGAGATTCAGTACGCATGCGCACAAACTAAGTGGGGGGCATGAACATACCTCTCGTGTTAACATGAGTAGCACCCCATCCAGGCAGTATAGTGCAAACAAATGTAGTACGCGCGTGTGTTGGTTCACGCGCTGGTTCTTGCATATATTATCCACTTCGGTAATTCACCCGGTTCGTCAGTGCCTTCGTCATGCACGCGCACGTACCACTGATTACAAGCTTCCATTGGATGACACTAAAGCTGCGCGTGAACTTCCATGTAACGCTGTGTGCAGTGGGCGTGGTTTAAACTGAACTGGCGTCACACAGAACCGGATGGGGAAAATGGACGGCCGAAGTGTTCATGGAAATGCAGCTTATGACACAAAATGTTCTCTCCAATTCCTTTGTGTAATTCAGCTGTATGTGGACGTCAATCCCATCACGTCGGGGTTGGGCCATTTCATATCTTTGTTTCCTTTAAAGAAATAATGATAAAAAAAGATTTTTCATTGAAATCTGTCCAGCGGGTTCACCGATTGCGCTGCGAAACTGCTCCACTGTGGTCGGGTCACTCCTTCACCCCGAGTGGGAAGAGCAGTGGGAGATTCAGGACTGCGGGACCTCAAAGGATCGAAATGACATCAGTGTGAAGGATCTTACAAATGTAAGTATGCGCAGAAAGGGCTTCAGTGGTTATTCTTGCGTTGCTAGTGGTTGTTGTCTGCAAAACTGCACCGTCTCTCGTTATTTCTGTGTTTGCCACTGTTGACAAAATCAAAAAGCCTGATTAAGTGCTTAATTAATTAATAGCTTAAGTGCTGGTAACTTAAGCTACACATGTGTAAAAATTTTGACCTGTCACTGAATGTAGACAATTGGTTGACTACCTAGTTTTACAGTTTTTTGGATTGGATTTAGATCTATTTTAAAAAGTGAGATAAAATATTTCATCAAACTTAAGCAGTCAACAAATTTACTAATTACGACGGTGCAAGAAGAATTTATTTTCCTTGGCATTTTAAAAATTATTACATACCGGTAGCAGCCAAAAGGAATTTTATGCGCTTTGCCAAGTACCCTCAAAGCTGCATGACAAGATACGCATATTACTCAAAGGCTACGCAGGCAGCATGGAAGGCAACGTAATCCAAAGTTTGCTTGAAATAGGCATGAAGATAAGGGCCCATGTTGAGATTGTGTAGAAGATGAATATAAGTTAAAAATCATAATGTTGAATTTGTGATTTTGTTGTAAATTATACAGCCAAACCTCATCCAAAGTGTATAACAACTACAAAATTGCTCGCAGTCTGCCTAGCTTATAAACTTGTTATTACTACAAAAGATACAAAAATGGCCGTGTGTACCCGTCCGCCATTAAGTACAAACGCCACCGAACCAGTTTCGAAGCCCACGCAGCTATGAAGGTTGGAATCAGAAGCGTGACGTATACTGAAGTCAAGTCTTTATTGATAATCACCTGGCCAAATGCTTGATCTTTCTAAACTTCCAAAAGAAAGAATTCATTTTGTGTCTCAAAAACAAAGTCTTACTTTCTTTGATGCGGAACCGGTATATAATAAACTATTTGTTCTAACATTCCTGGCATGTTGTCTTTTGATAACTTGGTAGGTCACAGTCAGCACTGGCAATGCTGTAGAGGTTGCCCAGTTTCTGGCCAATCTGACCGGCAACTTTAAAAGAGCGAGAGTAAGGCCTATCCTTGGCGATGTATCCGAAGTTTTTCAGAATATCATCGCAGCAGAATCGGGAGATGCAAAGGTAAAAAGAATGTGAACAAAAACATTTAGAGGGGAACATTTGATGGGAGCTGAAGTCTGAAGAAAGTGAATATTAGAGAGAAGTAGGTTATCCATAAAAATGCCTCTTAGTTTGTTTTAATCCAAACTAAAAGATCAAGGTCCAGAATTTGACATGGACACCGGTACTTGTATGGCAAAACATTCTTCAGGTTACAGAGGCCATGTCGAAGACGGTTGACGACGTCGTCATCGGCTTGTCATCTGGACAACTCAAGGGGGGAGACGATCCAAAGAGTCGTTCTATCATCGTGGAGTCATTCCAGGCGCAGGTTGCGCGGACTCTACGCCAGGCGGGCAATGTCAGCCTGCGGCAGGAGTCGGTGCAGGTGGAGGCGGTCAGCATCAGCCGCTCGGAGGCCGTGATGAGCGGGCTCAGCTTTGCCTCCGTGCGGCCTGGTGGGACGGGAGGAGCCTCAGCCACCGAAAAGGTTCCACTCAACGAGACTAGGATCCAGACTTTTCTAGGCCAAAACGGGTCGGCGAATGGAGTGGTATCCGTCCAGCTTCCGGGAAGTGAGCTGGACCAGGCACACGATGGCAAGTCTAACATAAACAGAGGGAAATCTGTAGTTTACAAAAAGGAAACTGGAGCGTTCTTCCTTTCAAGAGAAGGACTTTCAAAAATTACATAATTAACCGTTGTAGAACAATCTTATTATCGCTCGAGGACAGAGGAACGGACACTGACTGAGCTACGTATGGCCTCGTGATAAGAACAAAATTATGCAGAATGTTTGCAATCTACAGGAGCCTCCTTTTCCTAACAATGGAAAGAGTAAAATAATTGTCTTTAATAATAATAAAACAAGAGTAAAACCATGGAGCTTATTGCAGTTTCAGCCCACCTGAGATCAGGGAAATGTTTGGAGATCGTAAGGAGGCTTTCAACACACTTACTAGTTGCAGAACTCACCTGAGGATTAAGCCTGTGGCAAACAAACTGTAATATTTTTCTTTCCATTCTATCAGGTGGAAACTCGGGCCAGCTTCGCGCAAGTTTTATCGTGTACGGGGATGATACCCTGTTCCCCTCGGCCAGGACAGCGGGAACGCAGAATGCAGGTCCCACGGTGGGAGGGTTCGTCATTGCTGTGACTCTACAGGACCTGGTCTTGCGAGACCTGGCCAACCCGGCCGTCATTCAGTTCAAGGTCAGCACGTCCAACATGATGAACAGAGCAATATGGCTTCATCTCTGTCATTGGATTCAACTTTTCTAACTACCCGACTTGGAAATTGTAAACTCAATAATATCCATGTATCGATACTGAACCATCAAGCTGCATAATATCGATCCAAAGATCGAGTATTTTTTATTTATTTCAAACGATAATAGGTAGGCCTGCATAAGCTTCAAGCGGTTTTGATTCCAGTGGTAGTAGGAAATCGATTGTATCCTCCAGTCAGTTGTGTTGTACGGGCTGATTCGGTTGGCTAAAAGTCTGCCAAATTTCAGCCAATGGGCTTTTTGCCCATTTTTCTGCCTTGGGGCGCAGCAATCTTGATTACTGATTTCAGAACTCTGTAGTCACATACCGATTGACCTGCGCAAGCCTTAAAGGTCAGCAATGATTTTTGTATCCATTTCTGTGTTACAGTTAAAAAAATGATAACAACGATTGATGGTTCAATGGCGGAAAGCCATCTTAGTCAACCAAACTACAGTGGTACTCCATGTGGTACAGTAGTGTTCCGTGCGTTGGTAAACGGAAAACCATGGACTAAGACGTGTTGGTAAATTGACCAGTATCCGGGTCATAGGTGACTTCGTCATACACACGCACGCCCCACTCATTGCAAGCTTCCGTCAGATAAGCACTCAAGTTGCACGTTAACTTCCGGTTCCATGGTTCCAAATAGCTCTTTGTGCAGTGGGCGTGGTTTAAGAGAAATGACGTCATACTTACGAACTTCCTTTTGCTCATACATGATTCATAAGCGTGGGGACTGGAAACATGATTATTTCCCTTTGGCAGGTCACAATGTTTTTATATTAAAGCTCAGTTAGTTAATGACGGGACCTTTGGCTCATTTCTCCTCTATTCAGGCCCCTAGTAATGGGGATACAAAGACAATGAAGCAAACAAGGTGCGTCTTTTGGGATTTCACCCTTCGGAATGGCACTGGAGACTGGTCAGAGGAGGGATGCGCCCTCAATGAAGCGACCAATGACGTCATAGAGTGCCACTGTGACCACTTAACTAACTTTGCCATTTTGATTGTAAGTGTCAAAGGCATTTTTAAAATCGGTTTTAATTTTTTGAAATTTAGATGATTCCTGATCAGTAAGTTTTTTGTATACATCAGTCCTATTTGCAGATGCATAAATATGGTCGGTGTCGTTTTCAAGAAGTAAAACTAACTGAATCAACGCCTCTCGAAAAGAGTGAACCAGTTCGGTATTCCAGCAGCGTATGCCACAGATGAACTGCGTCCAAGGTCATTCGGGCATAACCGAACGAACACCGACTTGCACTTTTTCCTTTGTTCTCGCTTGACCTTAATTAATTTCATGAAATACAGAGCTGCACAAGAGGGATTTCGAAAGTTGCATTTGGTTGGGGGCGCTGCGCAGAATTTCTGGCCTGAACGATTGAATGGCAAGATGTCCGGCCCAGCACACACATCCCCCGGCATACGGGAGTATAATAATGCGGCTCAGTGGCATACACTGTGAAGGCAATTTGTGTCTTGTTTTGTTCCTTTTGAGAATTCAGCACTGCATTCTAAAATGGCAACAAAAGGCCTGGGAATCGATGGCAAAGAAACACGAAATTCAGCAGAATGGGTTTAGTAATTCCCTTAGATAAGAAGCTTAAGAAAAACAATTTATTTCACTCTGAAAAAAATCCCGTATGGAAAATTACTTGCAGCCGTGGGGACCATAGATTTCCAGTAAAACAAATGGACGGACGCCGTTAAAGAACACGTTAAATAGACACAGTTCACTGGAAAACCATAACTTCTTTCTAACCCGAGCATTTTCACAGAAATGGGTGGCATCCTTGGCTGCTTAACTTTTTTACCTCTTATTCTGAAATATTCTTTCGATAGGAAGAAGTCATCGGTTCTTCGCAAGCGCTGCACGTCAGCAGTCAAATTGGCTGCGCCCTGTGCATCGCATTCCTCGCCATAACTTTGCTTGCTTCTCTGTGCTTAGATAACAGCAAGGGGTAAGAAGTGTGAGGTTTTTTTTGTTTTGGGGCGGGCGAAGGCTTTTGTTAGATTTCTGCATCGAGTGAAATTTAGAGAATGCACTTCTAATGTATATACTGCAAATGTTTATTTACACCTGCTGTCAAGACGTTAAAAAATCTGATGGCGCATACATGACGTATTATTATATTATGATTGTCCATAATAAGGAAAAAACAACGATTAAAACATAATTGTCGAACAAGTTTAACCAATATGGAGATTTCGTCAAGAAAACGATAATGATGAACCAGTTTGGTATTCCAAAAAGTAATGTCATTCGTAATGCGCAAAATTAAAATGTTTTGAAGTCTACCACGAATCAGTAATTCCCTGGATGTATGCTTACACAATAGGGCTGTTTTAAATTCCTCATGCACGATATCTTGAAAATGGAGATGCCGTTATCTTGTCCAAATTATGATTTTAATAGCCTCGTGCGAAGGTTTCTTTGCCTCTCGGTTGAGTAAGAGGTTTGATATGCTTCAGGCTTCGTGAGCCTCCTTTTTCAATGAATATTCTCATCACAGGAGCCAGAAAGGAAGCACCTCTCGTCTCTTGTTCTATCAGCTTTGCGTCTCGCTGCTCGTCCTGTACGTAGTGTTTCTGGCGGGCGTCGATGGTGCAAAGGTATTTTCTAGTTCTTGTGGTATTGATCAGTATTTCTGCGCTGCACAGACTGGGTTTTAAATTGGTTATTTAATCCAAAACCCTGGGGGTGAACAGAGGAATACACCCAATCTGGCGTAACCTTCTGCAGGGTGCTAAACTTTACACCAGAGTTTTTGTGGTGGGACTCCTTCCTGGTGCGGATCCACACTATAGTTTTCTTCAGCTTTACGTTTGACAAAAAATAGATCGGTTCATACATTGAGTATCTCTATTTGGGTATTGCATGAGAGTATTTGGTTATTCTGTAACGTCATTTTCATGAAAGTGTAAATATCATCTGCAATTTTTTGTTGTTGCTGTAAATGCCAATGTCTTCAATCAGGACCTTTGGTGGATCCAAGGAGGATGGGTAGAAGGGGGGGGGGTCATGTTATACTTGGTTTTTAAAATATAACAAAAGAAAGACTATTTTGTATGACTTTTTCAACATCTCTCCTTCCCTAAGTGTGTAAAAGTTTCCAAATTTAACCTTGCCCAGGAGAAAGGCCAGTCAAGAGACAAAAAGAAATGCCAATTTGCTTGCTTCCCGAAATCTGGTGGTTTGGGAGCTGAGCTGGCTTTTTTTTTCAGCCTATCCCTATTGGTTAATATTTTTCTCAGCATTCGCACTGTTCCCACAAACAGTAAAACATATTGAATAATACTTGTGACTTATATTTGCCGTCAGTAGGATTTGATGTAGTAGCCACCGTTTCCTTATATCTCTATTTGTGCCCTTAGGGTTCAAACGGGGGTTGTATGTTTGTCGCTGCGTTTCTCCACTATTTGGTTTTGGTCGTGACGGTGATGATGGTCATTTATGCGGTGGATCTGTACTTGGCAACGTCTAAGAAGATCCCACGCGACAATGCACCGAAATTCCATACAACTTATGCTGTCTTGGTGGCTTGCGGTAGGTACCCTTTTCATCTCCAGTTAGATAGAGTGTTTCCTGAACTTAATTAAATAACTGTCTTTGAAAAAACATTGAATTGGGAGTTTTGAATAGTTTGAATTATTTAGCGCTGAAGTCCCAAGATGAGTTAGACATTTTATGTGTTTGTCTTACCAGGTTTTCCCATGATTGTTATTGCAATCACTGTACCCTCTGCAATGGAGTACTATAAGATTAACAGTGATGTCATGAACAGCGGCCCAACATAGTGAGTACACTTAAATAATCCAAAGATGTTATAGTCCAGGTGAAAAAAAAACAAGAACACGCGACTGAACGAAAAGAGAAGGGAAATGAGGAAGGTGGACGTAACTCTGTACTCCAGCAAGCGAGATTTCTAATGATGCTTTAGCAGTTTACCTTCGTGACTTCATACATTTCAACTTGTACAAGAATGACATCTGTACAACATCTTCAACAGCATCTTTTCAACTGAAATTATTACAGTGCATAGCTGTCCCTGTTGGTGTAACTCCATGTTTTGAAAATCTGTCGCAGACTTATATTGTATAGGACATTGCAATCGTATCTTAACTTGAAGGAGACGATGAGTGCTTAATTAAGGCCTGTTATGCACTGGCTTCAGTCTAAACGGTCGTCCTGTAAAATTTTCCGCAGTTGTTTTCTCAAGCCAGGGCTGGCCATGTACCTGGGCCTTCTGCTTCCCGTCTGTATCTTCCTGGCCCTCAATGCTACTGTCTTCCTCTTGGTGTGGCGCCGGCTGCCTCGTGCCGATAAGAGGCTTCACTCCGCCCAAACCTCTCAGCGCCTTCAGGAAGCTGTGGGAATCTCGCTTCTGACCTTCTTGACTTGGCTGTTCGGCATACTGGCCATTACTTCTGCGGCTATCGCTTACGACATCGTGTTCCTTATCGCCTCCACTCTACAGGTAACAAACCACTTCAGTATTTCAAAAATATATTTGGTGCGTGTGAGCTGGGCAGGCGACTTGTAGTCCTGGTTCCAAGACCTTCGCATTAATCAAACTACAGAGGGTGCTATATTTCTTTATGTTCTTTTCTGACCACGGGCGAAGGTCTTGAACAATACGGGCGATTCACAGTAGTGCGCTTCCAAGTGTTTGCAACGCACTGACCAATCACAGTGCGAGAAATCTGTCGACCCTTTCCAAACGCGCACTGGATCGACAGATTTCGTGCATTGTGATTGGTCAACGCGTTTTTAGGGCGCACTATTGTGAATCGCCCGTATTCGTTCGGCAGTGATTATAGGGTTTTCTTTGTTATCCCACGAGATTTTTGGGGAGCCAGTCAACAGCTTCTTCGTTTGAGCCGTATTGTATCATTCATTTTGGTCCATACTGAGTGGACCAATGTGAATTGCGTCCCGACTTTCGAAATACGAAAATTTCCATGTAAACAAGCCGTGTTAAACCCTGTCAACACTGTGAAAAGGGAAAAGCAAAGGGCGGAGGTGGCGGTGGGTCGTGGTACTGGACACCACATCACACCATAGGGTCGCTGTCCATTTTGTATATGTGCACTTAGGCACTTATTTATGTGCACTTATTTCGCGATCTACTGCATTTCAATTTTATAATTTTGAAAAGTTCAGACATGTAACCTTATAAATCCCCATTTGGATTTAAATGTATGCTCTTGTGCACATGGTTCTGCAAAACTGCAGGCTCGGTTAAACCGTTATAATGGGGGGGGGCGGAGGTTGACCCCCAGACCCCCGATCTGCGCTTGAGAAGTGAACCATATCGCCCTGTTGAGGAGTGGGATTTTTTATCGTATTCCTATGGTCCGATACGTTTTTATTAAAAAATAGTGAATCGGAAAGCGCTAGATGCCAGCGGCAAAATTTGTGCCAGAAATTGGAGGGATGGGGGAAAATGGGATTCTGACCCCACATGACACTATATTTGGAGTGACGTTCATGATACAGACTTACATCTGCTAGTGTAAAATGAATCACATTCTTGCAGAATCTTACACCAGAATGGCATATCATATTTTTTTTTATTCTCGAGTGAGTTTTGGTTGATGTGAAGTCCGAAAAAAATCTTCAAAATCCGCCTTATTTTTTATCACCACGTAAAAGTGGGGTATGATTCAAAAGAGGGTTTGCATAGCTGCCATCTTACAGGTCAGTGCTTTGTCCCACGGGATATGCACAAAGAAAGCTTCCGTGTGGAGCAAAAGAACTGCCCTGCAAGATGGCTACCACTCAAAGTCTCTGTAGTTCACCCCCGGTCAAAAGTGGAAGTGATATACACCCCCCCCGGATTTACCCTCATGCTAGACAAGCAGACTGGCAAGTCACCATTATTTCCTCCATTTCAGGGTTTGTTTGTGTTCATCATGTTCTGCATTCGACGTAAGGAGGTGCGAGCAGCCATCTCAACTCACCTGAGATGCTCTTGCTTGAAAGGAAGTAATCAGAAGCAAAAGTACGAGCTAGGACAGAAGAATGTTCAACTCGACACTAAACTCAGTATGTGAAAGACCGCTAACATCGAGCTCCTTGCTCCATAACAGAGGCGAATCCAGTTCTTGGGAGGGGGATGGGAAATTGTAACTAAAAATGGCTATCCAAAAGAAAACACTGTTTATTACCCCTTCCCAACAAGAAAGGTAGTAGGACTATTTTTGAAATGCTGACGCACTCAGTCCCGTTTCCCCCAACCGAGATGGCTTCAAACATGTCATACCGGTATGTCTCGTGTTCACAGGGCTGCCATCTCAAATCGTGAGTCGTGATATGTGAAATCTCGTGGAGATGATTTCTTTTAGACGAGACAGCACAGTTTTTGAACTCCAACGATACTTTGTATTTAGAACGGGAGTTAATATTGTTATGTTTTGGGGGTGGGTGGGTGGGTGGTGGTGACAGATTTGTTGCTACTTTACTGCTGTGTGGGCCACCTTAGACCTTTGTGTGCGACACTCTTAACTATTCAAAAACACATCAGTGTTTTCAGCAGACTAGCACGTTGCATGGTAATATACGGTGAAAATGGAAAATGAACTTTTTAGTAAAGGAATGTACATGGCTGGTCTGAAAGGTGTGTTTAAGACTGGCTCAGTAGAATGGATGCAACTAATGCCCAGCCGCAGGCGAGGGAATCGTTTAAGACCGACTAAACACAGATTTATTCCCATTCACTGATATCGTTGTAGTCAGAGAGTCAAAAGAAGTCAACATACGAAATTTCCAAGGATTTTGTTGAAGAATTTCATTTTCATCTTCCCAAACACCCCGTCCATTTTATGGTCCATTCCTTGTACAAGTTGTGTAGAAGAATCTTCTTATAAATTATGGACTTGGCGTGCGCGTGGCGCGTTCTGCATTCAGCGGCGCACACAGACTCTTGACCAATAGGAATGGATTAAAACTGTCTTGTCTCCAGGTGCCAGCTTATTTTAACGCAGCAGCCATTATCAAATCGTAGCGGACATTTAATGTTAATACATGGTCACGTTGCGCGTTGTTGAATAGGGAAACTGTATAAGGTATTTATGAACAAACCTTATTCACAAGGAAGCTATTTTTTTGATCATGCTTCCTGAATTAGTCTTATTCCATGTACTCTGCCATGGGGGTGGTTCCAGACTACTTTGAACCCGTGCCCCACCTTCGTTCCGTAACATTTTTAGATATAATAAAACTGAAAATTTAAATCATTCAAATGTTTTAAATCATGGAAATGACATTTATCCGTAACTTTTTTTATATCATTGCTTTCATTGTAATTTTAATTTCATAAAGAAAGTTAACACTTTCAATTCAGTATGGCCGACCTTTGAATAAAGTATATTGCGTGTAAATATCACCCTGACATCCTGCATCTTCACCAGCCCCATGTACTGGTTTGCCAAACTGTATTTATGCAAGTGAAGACCTTAAAGCTAGATCCACCAATTCCCTTAATGACAATGCAGGAAATTTCACAATAAGGGGGATGGAGTATCATACCTCCAGTAAAGTAAAATCCAGGAAATGAATGAGGCTCTGGAAAACTTCGTCACATGGTATGCAGCTGACAAAGATGGGATTCGAACTAGAGACAAATCTCTAAACATGCCAATTCGATGCTATCATGTTACCGTGTCTGGCCTTATGCTGATGCAAACAAAGGACCACATAAATGGAACCCCATCAACGACATCGATCTCAAATGAGAGAATGCAATTTGTACTCAGTTTTGTCAGATATACACAGTTTTGTAATTGTTCTGTAATGGTAAATTTGAAATCATTAAATTAAGAATATTTTTGGATTAGTAAGAGAAATTACCCAGAAAATGTTATGAACATTACCCCTTATGTTAAGTCTTTATGGTACTCGGTTCCATATTCCATGGTTTCTGATTTTATGCTTTCATGGAATGTTTTTCTATTTCTCTATAACTGTTTCGTCGGATGGCAAGTCTGCAATAGTTTCTAATACAGGAAGCAAAATACATTTTTGGTGAAGGTTATATATTTTATATTTTAAAGAAACAGCCATAAATAAAATGGGACTTTCATACTGCTCAATATGTCTGTTTTTTTTCATTAAGTCTAGTTTTTGCTCTGTCGTCATTGGCTACGTAAGTGCTGCTCCATTGCATTATACTCTGAAGTGATATACTGTACACGAGGAGTAATTTGTACAATAAAATGTGGTAAAGCTATTCGAAAGATTCACTTTGAGTTTTCTTTCTGCATCAGGGACTGGACTGCGCAGTTTGAATCCAGTCTCTAGTCTTTTAAAATAATAAGACAAAGCATAGCATAAGACTCCAGCCATTGCCATGAACTTTTTTCTCCCGGCCTTGATTACAGTTTTTCAGAACCCGTAACAACAAACTCATTTTTTCCAGATCAAATAAATTCCCCAAACCAACATTTATGCTTTCTCGATACAGTTCCCTCTAAAATATTGTATAAATGCGGTTCAGAATAGAATAAATTTTTCCAATAGGGCCTATGCTTGAACAGACTTTAAGAAAAAAGGAATGACTATTTAGGAATCACGTTTGTTTTGGCTTTTCTTTTTCGTTATCACTGGCTGATTTAGCTAAAAAGCTTGTAAACGAAACAGTGGTCATCAACGGGTGAGAAGTGTATTCTCATTAAGTTCTTTGTGCTTCTTGTAGAAGTATACTGAAGGAATCAAGTTCAACAATTAAAATCAAATAACTGTAACACAATTATTTTCAAGATGTATCTTTGCGTTGGGGAGATGTTAATTTATACAAGGGGTTTTGCGCTTAACCAACATGAATATTAACGCACATTCTTCTGTTTTAAATGCATTATCTTTTACCCATTTTGAACTAGCCTGGACAACTAATATGCATGGCAGGTCGACTTTGTGTTGAGTTTTGGCCTTCACTGACAATTCTCATCACTGTTATTTGACCAAGTGTGAAGAATAGTGTTTACGTTAGAAAAGGGGGAAAAACAGATTCAAATCCCACCACCTGAATACGAACTTTGGAACAGTTGTAATTTGATGGCTAAATTTGGTTGTCAAATCATTTTATTTTCAAGTTATGGCATCATCCATTCCGAGGGTTATGGCAAGTACATAAGCAATTGGATGATAGACGGGGAGCCACCATATAATCTGGTAGAGTTGGACGCCAATCGCTTCGGCAATTGGACAACAAGGTCAGTTGTTACACCATTACCTTGAGGAGAAACATCTTGTTTAGAATCTCTTCCCATGTCCAAATGTCATACATGTAGCTGAGGCTAGAAATATACTCATGAGATTCTCTTTCCAGCGGCTGAAGCCTTTTGCCGTAGACACAGCCATACTTGAAAGCCGGTTGTGTCCCGCATTGTCGTTCTGGAAACTGCTTTTCATGGGTATTGGGTTGTGCCATTCTACTGAAAGCTGGTCATTTTCACTTTGCTGTTTGGCCTTGTGTGAACCATTGTGCTGGCACTAACAAAAGAAGCAGGGTGTAATAAAAATGGACGCTTATTGTTAGTGCAATGTGTTTCTTTTGTTACATGTCCGTGGTGTGGCCTTGCTGTGCGGACGTGCAAACAAAGCTGGGCTACGTGTTGCAGGTTGAATACTTTTTGTGAATCTTTCACTAGGTAGTCCCTCTTTGTAGAAAAAAAATTAAGAGGCATATTGGAGTCAGGGTTATCGATGGGAAATAGTCAATAAAACCATTACGGTAACAAAAAGGCAGTTTATAGAAATAGGGTTAAAGTTTTAAAAGAAATTAGTCATTGTTTCTAGTTTTCTTGAAAGGAACACCCATACTAGGTAGATAACATTAATGTGTGTCTTTTGATCCTAGCTCAGTAACTCGTTTTGTAAGTATGCCACGCTATGCATGCGCAGTTCCTGCACCCGAGAGCAGATGAGTTACTTGAGGTATAGACTAGCTCAGGAATTTGTTCAGCAAGAAACAGGTTTCCAGCAATGCATTGTGTACGCCTATGTCTCTTATGACTTGTGGCCTGCTGTAGTTTGTTTGGTGCATAAATTTGAAGGCCTCTTATCCATCTGTAACATTAGACCCGCAAGTAAGCATGGAGTATTTATAAAAGTACAGTTGGATGTGTTAGCCCGACAATGTCGGGTTTTAACACCATGTTATCCTAATTAGTTTTCGGCTTTTTGAAATTGGTTCATCAAATAATGGGGGACACACTGAAATCCAGGAATTGTTGATAGCACAGCGTCATACGGTATTTCTACATTATACCGTCACGGTTATTGCAACTCCTTGCTTTGTCTGCCCAAATCGAGAACACTTTGTGTTCTTGAAAGGCGCCATTCGAGAAGTTCTTCATTGGGTAGGTACAGCTGCCTTCTTTTCACCTGCTGTGCCACCACTCCGCCAAGTTGTTTTCACCCCAAAGAGCATCTTTCAGAAATTTCAAAATGTTTGTTAATTGTAGGGAGTACACGAGCATCAAGACCCGTGAGACATACGGGATGAACAACGCCATCGGCTGGCGCCACGAAGAGCGGTGGGCGGGCAGAACAACCAAGCGCGTCAGTGGAATATATGACAAGCTAAAATGCCGAGGGGCCGAGTTCGGATTTCGTTCAGGTGGGTTCAACACGGTGGTAACAGTTTGAAACGTTGTCACTCTTGAAGACAAACCCACTCTGTCTCTAATTCCGACCGACGATTCAAATGTACATGTAGTTTTATCATTTTAGGGGGATGGATGCTGAACTGCAAAAGTATTTGCAGTCAGTAATATAATCCATAATGACTCAGAACTTCAACCATTCTGCCATTGATTTCCTGCTCAATGATTGACTTCTTGCAGGCACATGCCAACCATCTTTCATATCTATTTTCACTGTCATCGCTATATTTATGGCCATTCTCAGTCCTTCAAATTGTTCTCAGCTTTCAGATTGTTCAATTTTATACCAAATTGGGAAAAATCAATAAAGTAGTGTATATCTGTTTGGTTACTTTAATTTCAGGCTGGGAACAGCCCCAGTGGTTTGCACTGGATGGCGACGAAGCCGGGTACAAGCCGAGCTTCCGTCGGTCCAACTGGTTCGGACCGATAGGGCGAGAGTACGAGATGGTGATGAAGCGAGCTGGAATCATCGATCTTAGCCCGTCTGCCAATATACAAGTGACGGGAAAAGATGCCTACAGATACCTGGACAGCCTACTGGCCAACAAACTGCCGGCTGTAAGGACTTTATCCATTTCTAGTCTTGATGGTGACCACCAGTGTTGTGGTTGATTACCTCACTCGTGTTTTTTTTTTCATTAGGCACCAGAAAAGGACAGTTCTAAGTGTTTGAATTTTTAACATTGGCTTAACAGAACCGTATGATGGAAATATCTTTGTCACAATTTGTACACAGCTGGTGGCTTACATGGAGCTTGGTATTTTGTCACTGCTTGTGAAGATTTTGCTATTATGTATTTCTGGTAATAAAATCAAAGGTTTCTCAAAAGTTCAGTCACAATAGCTCCTAATTCCTAACATACATAAAGAAAGGAGGCAGAGGAGATACCGAGCTTTCTTGAAATACAGCAGGGAAACGAATGTTCAGTTTCAGAGGTACGGGGAATTCATGGAGTCGTTTCTAGAAACTAGATACCAAGCCTCTGTATTCACATGGGTGGGATTTGAACGTGGGTAGCAAGGTGGAAGTTAAGAAAGTATCACTGCACCAACCTGACACACCCCTACTTGATCACAGTAAGGAGTTAGTGCCGACTTGCCTCTCCCACATAAGCCACTGGCTATGTCGGGCATGGGCAAGCAGTACCTCAAACAAGGAGTAATTGGCACCACTGTCTTTTACCAAGCGTAGGTTGGTCGATGCACCCTTTGCCCCATGCTGTCACCTAAGGGAAAGGTCTACTCCGAGGTAACAGTGAACCGACTGGCAGAGGACAAATTCCTCATCATCACACATTCTGGTTCAGAGTTCCATGATCTCAGGTCAGTCTTGTCTGTATGTACATTTATTTGTGGAATATCTCCTTTCTCTGTCTCCTACCAGGAAGAAAAGAGGCACAAAGGTTAACAACTTGTTGGAAGAAGAAACCGTTGCTTCAGATTTGAAAACTACAGAAATTTGAAGAAACAGCAAAACTTTAATTATTACTGTAAATTTGATTGTTTCATGGATGTCTAAAAGAATGTCCGATATACAACAAATGGAATGAATATGGAGTATCACCGTTATGTACACAATGAGGCATCCACGCAATTAAGAAAACACCTTCAGAGTTAACTGTGCTATGAAGGTATATAACAACACTTTCAGACCAAAACTGTGGATGCAAATGGCTGCTGCTGGAACCAACGGCAGTATTTCGAGATTTGTTTCTAACTTGTCCAAAACCAGGTGGATGGAGGAATTTGCCTGGAAAGGCAACTAAGAAGTCAGCTTGAAAAACATCACCGACAGCATGGCCTGTCTCGGCATTGCAGGGCCATTGTCTCGCGACGTGCTGGCCCCTATCACTGAAACCGACCAGGCGGGTGATGCATTTGCCTTCATGGACGTCAAGGATATCACTGTCGGCGATGTGCCTGTCACTGCTGTCCGAATCTCGTACACAGGTAATGCAAACTGACTCGAAGATGCTGTTGATTATCAGAAGACATAAGCATCATGAATTGGACACGCACAGATTCTGTATTTTTATTGGCTGAGAGCCAGTCACATTACACATGCTATAAAGTTATTTCAACACTTATTTCAGTCATTATTCTATCTGTATTGAGGGTATATCAGCTGGAATCAATGTCAGCACTACTTTCCATGGAGGCCCTCAGATTTACGGTGTGGGTCGAAAACTTACAAGGGAGTTGCAGGCAGCGGCCTGACAGGCCACATCTGGAGAGAGGAAAGAGTGAGAAGCAATTAATCAGAATATTCAAGAAGAATCTGTGAAGAGGAATATTAATACATGTACTGCTTTATCTCATGATACAGTAAAACTGGCAACCCTCGGTAATCCAGAATAGTCAAAGGTCTCCCCCGCAGGACTGATTCACAGATTACCTTGGAACAGCACTTTCACTTCACAGATCAACGCAGTTAATCTTTATATGGAAGCTTTGAGGAACTTTGAGTTAAGACAGGCAGTTATTTATGTTATAAAGGAATAAAACGAGTTGCCATTTAGGGTTATTTTGTCGTTTCCCTTCTGGATCTACTCAATCTATTTGTTTCAACTTCATTGCTAGCTTCGGTCTCTGGCAGGTAGGCATCTGAACATGCCATGAATTCGAAATTACCACAGAATAAACTCCCCAGTAAAATCAAAGGTCTTTGATTGTAGTCTGATTTGCCCAGATGCGACCGAGACCTCACTGTGAGTTTGAAAAGGGAAATTTCCAAGGCCTCAAATTTTGATAGCAGTGGATATTTAGCCTTTGCTGGATACGATATTTTGCTGGACATAATGTGCAGTAAACTGGGTGTTTTTTTTATAATTTTGGTCAAATTCGGGCGGACTGTTCTTCACACTGGTTTCTTGTTCTTGTGTTCGAATGGCAGGAACATGACCCAAGAACACCGTTTTTGGAACAGGGTCACACACCACCTCCTCGTACCCGTCAGGATTTTACAGGAACACACGGAAATCCCTTGAGATTTTGATTTTTGAACAGCTGCAAAAAAACATCGAGGTGGCTTACGAAGCCGGACACAATGGGGAGTTTTGCAAAATTATCATTAATCATTTTTCATAACACAGAAATTAATGTTCCTTTGTAAATAGGAAAGAATTCAGACCAGTTATCGAAACATAAACTCTCGAAGAACGTACATAAACGCCGCCATGTTGCATACCACTTACCACCAGCAATAAGCGATTGTATGTTCCTGGCGTTTGAGCACCAACCCACGAACAACAAATCAAGCTGTTCGTGAACATAGAACAAGCCGCCCGAACTCACCTAAAAATTCTTCCTGGGACAAATCTTAGTCTGGTTCTGTACCAACGTATTAACAAGGTCGGAATCAGACGATTACAATTTCAGACACCTTTGAAACAAATTTTCCATAAAGGAGATTTAATAATATTAATGAAATAATGGAGTCAGTCAATTAAAATGTAACAAAAAGAGAGTATTTTTAGTTTTGAGGGCCTACTCTGCTAAAGTTGCCATCCTAAAGCAAAGTTTCGTGGCAGTGTTCGCGCAGCTGTTAAGTGACTGGTTCCCGTCCGACAGAGGTCCGAAGATATAGGTAATCAGTGGGCCTTGTCTGGTATCAGTGGTATTGTCATGTTTCGTTAGTTTAGGCGTCAGTGGTGTTAGCCTATAGGCAGGGTCGTCGCCGCAATCACTGCACGATGCATTTATGAAAAATAATGTGATTTCAAATGCACATTATTTAAGGTAAAGATAAGAAAATGTAAAGAAAATTTAAGGAAATTTCAGGAAAAAATCCAATCTAAGGAAATTTAATTTTGAGGAGTGGAAACATTGATAGGCAGCCTAGCAGTAACTGCCTATGTGTGAATAGGATATTCTTAGGATATTCAGTACAATAGGCCTATGGCCACCAAATTCAGTCCATTCACTAATTAAAGTGCATTCATGCACGGCGCTGAAGCCGATGACTTGAAAACTACCATATTGTATTGAAAAGCCTAGGATGGCCGTGCAGTCGCTATAATTCGCAGAGAAGAGCTGCCTTTCCAGTGTATAGAGAGCAGTGGCGCTGTCCACGCCCCCATGCATGGACCCTCTAGGCTATGGTAACTATATAATCTAGGCCTACAGCATTACTGTCTAAAGGAAAGTGTTTGTCCCTAAGGCGAACTTGGCTGGGAGTTTTATCACAAGGTGGAGGACACTGCCAAGCTCTACGATGCTCTGCTTGAGGCAGGAAAGCCCTTGGGAGTTGGAGACTTTGGAACATTTGCGATGAACACCATGCGCATTGAGAAGGGATTCCGCGCATGGGGACGAGAGGTAGGCCCAATTACAGAACTGGAAAGACATTATGAGGCAAAGGCTCCAGACAGTTGCCATGAAACGGCCCTGCAGGTCCATCACTGGTCATTCAATCTTTAAAGTCAACAATCTATTTCGAATGAACCTTGGTAAAGCTTTAGTAATTGGCAGCCCCTTACTGATGACGGGGGTGGAACTTGTTTGGAGAGGGTCGAACTTTTGAAAATGTTTGTATGTGACCTTTCATGCCCCTCCGGAGGGGTGAGGCTAAATTTGGGGGTTTTATACACACACTTTCGAGGGAAATGACATTCGCCTTTTTCGTTGTTCTCAAGAATATTTAGGGGAGGGAGATTTTCTTTTTCTGGTGCGTAGGCTGCCGGAGCCCCCCCCCTTCCCCAGCTCGCTTCCGAGTTTTTCTCGTCGGTGGATCTTTTTTGTGTGTGACTGTAATACACCGTAATTTTCAGAACAATACGCTGCTGCTTACGTTGATTCTCACACTGAAAATATCCAGGTTATACGGCAACATTTAAAAAATGAAATTGGTCTCGCCGCGCTGTGCCTGTTGCCGCCGCCGTGACCAGCTATGTGCCGCTTTGCAGGCTGCAAAGTGGTGTAGCGCTCCAGGCGCCCTGACAAGTCGGTCATGTTTTTGTTGGTTGCCATTTGCACTGGCTCTTCTCACGTATTGCAAATTGAAGGAAACCAGTCTAGAGAGACTGAATAGCCTCTTAAATTTACCGTAAGTACCATTCACACCTCAAAAATCGTCCACATGTGGTGCGTCTGTTTGTTTTTGTCTTTTACGGTTGTGTAATCCACGTTGTTTATTATTTCACTGGTCATTTGGTGACTGTTTAAAAAACCGCTGCATGGCCCACCCAGCAAGGACACTAATCAATATTTTACCTCCAACCTCACAAAAGGTGAAATCTAATCAAACTCAAATTATTTTGATTCATAAATGTTGATTTCTTATACCCGCTACAAAGTTCCGATAAAATTTTATTTGGGCCCGGTTTTCCGAATTTTCTTTCACAAGTGCAAAATGAACTCTTTCGAATGCGCCTCAAAATATTTTGTTACAAATTTTAATTAGGTGAAGGAGTGGAGGTTATAAGATTTTATCAATTTTATAGAGCTTCTGAAATTTGTGGAGTTTTCTGAGATTTTTAATAATAATGTTCACGCTACTCGCTCGTCACCCATGCGTCCGCTTGAGGGCGCTGGGGAAAGAGCAAGTTCATACCTGGCCAATTTACGACAAGCCGCCGTGAATATTCAAAACTGAAATATACAAGTTCGGTTCGCGACAAACATGCCACTTGTTCCAAAGAACATTATGATAGGCATTTGTATAAAAATGTGTTATCACAGTGGCAAAAAATTCACTTTTGGGTTTGACGACCCCCCCGTCAGGTCAGGCAACGGGCCTGTTTTGGGGGACATGGCTGATTGCTTCATGATTGCTCCATTTCGGAGACACCAACTCAACTGTCACGCATGGATGTGTAGTTAATCTGTATAAAAACTTTCCAGTTTCATTTACAATGTAAAAGTTCATTCAAACTCAATGTTTTTCTTGCAGATGTTGATGGACTATAGCCCATTAGAAGCTGGGCTGGGACCATTCATCAAACTCGAAAAGTTCAGTTGGAAAAATACATCCAGCAAAAGAGGAATGTGCGAGGAGGATTTAAGCCAACTCACATATGGTTAGAATATCTTACCAGTGACCCAATCTAACAAAATGAGGTTTACGATTGGTGTTAACAGTTAGAATATCGCATCAGTAGTTCATTCTAACAAAATTATACTTAACATTTAGGAGGACTCCCAACTCCCATGCAGTTAGGATATATCAGTGGCCCGATCTAACAAAATGAGGCTTAGGCCTAAGTCACAAAGGCTTGTACCTTATGAGAGGACCCTCCATTACAAACCTATTTTCTACATCATTGGAGTATAACAGCTGTTATCCAGTCAAACAAAACGCCGAGGTTGGATATATGAGACCAAAAGTCCAAAACCAAATCCACAAGGTATCCGTTGCACGATATAAACCCATCACCAGAGCGGAAATGACAAGGCTTCGGAGATTCTTCATTCCCCCCCGCGCAAAAAAGTCACCCTTTTTCAGGAGGCCGACTTTGTTGGTAAGGCGGCCGTTCAGAAGGTGAAAGACGAGGGACTTCTGCGTAAACTGGTTCTGCTTACCGTTCCCAACACTGACAATGTTGACCCTGAAGGCAACGAGACACTCTGGCTGAATGGCAAGGCGAGGGGAAATGGTGGTCCTGATTGGTTGCTTCTTGTACATTACGGTAGCAATGGTAGCCCCAGTGACTTCGCCTTCATACCTAATCTTGAAGTCATGATTTAGAAATTTTCATCACAGTACTCATTTCGCATCAGGCAGACTATACATCGTTTATTTTAGTGACATTCACGTATTGTCTGTATTGTGAAAAACTTTCAACATCATAAAAAACAGTACACCATTACTCACTTTGTGTTTGTGTGTAAAATAACCTTTTTAAAAAACTTTTTGGTCAAATTTATTGGTAGGTTGTCGGCAACACCACATCAGGCTGTTACAGCTTCCACCTCGGCCAGAGCATCTGCTTCGCTTACCTGCCCATGGAGCTGACGGCAGTTGGGACAGAGGTTGAAGCGGAGCTCTTGGGAAAGAAGTACCCCTCGATGATGACTGAGGAGCCCCTGGTGCTCAAAGAGCAAGTCAGAAGCAGGCAGAAATCCAAGTAAGAGGTGAGAGTGTCCAGCCATCGGATCAATGTTTACATAATAGGAATATCAAAGGAACGGTGCTATGGTTTTATCTGAGAATCACTTTTTGTGCATGTTTAAACTCTTCTTCTATGTATGAAAACCGATTTCTTAGAGTTCGCTGTGACGTAAAGTCAGGAAAACACTTTGGTTTGTACATGAATGGATGTTGAAATTTTGAACCTTAAATTTACTCTTTCAAAATTTTCTCGGAAAAAGTTGCTCACTGGATTTTTACCACCTGCAGCAATATATTGTCAAAGAAATTGACATTAAAAATCTTCGACAGCGAAGTATATAAAATGTAGCGATTTTTGTGCACAGACCAATGCAACATTGAGGTACAGTGCTTGGCATTGCATGCACATCACAGTTCTGCTCATGAACATGCAAATTTATGTTAGCACAAAAACCAAAAAGGACCCAAAATACAGATCATCATTGTGGCTATACGTAAAAATTTTGGAATCGGATCAGGCAATGAATGTGTGCACATACCCTACAAGCCAGGTTGTCTTCCAAAGGATTAAAAGTGCAAGCTGGTTTCCAATCTTCATTCACACTGTTGACCTTGTGATGAAGGAGTCACTGTGGGAGCCAGTCCAGAAGTGATGAAAAGACGTACCTCACTTGTTATCACACACAATGTCACTGATTGACAACTGAGATTCGTTTATCTTTGAAGCAAGGAGATACTGCCCTTTTCAAATAAAGCCAGATGTTTATCCTGCGTTCATCTCTCACTTTGACTTTTATACAATCAAAAGGCCGATAAATGAATTGAAGTGTTTATAGATAAGATTTGAAGACGTATTTACACTCCAGGCTCCAAATGTATGATATGACTTGAGTAATCTAAGACTGTAAAATCTGTGGAGTGCTAGGGTGTCACATCTATGTGAGGGCATTATTTTAACTCGTGTTGAGAAGGCCGTTTGTATTATCCTCGACATCAGATTTAAACTTCAGAGGCAGCTCAAGACAAGGTGTTAGTTTTATCAAAAAACTGAATTATTTATGGAAACTAAAGAGAAACTGTAATTTATGCTTTAAAGGGGGAACAAACTGCCGTTGATATGAGAACATTGTGTACTTAATGGTTCTGTCTTACTCGAATCAATATTTCTAGTCAATGACGCTCTGAACTCTGCCACGTGTTTCAGTGTATAATTGTCTCTTCCTTAGAACTAACAAGGGCTAATTAAGTAATTGCTGATGTTGACCAACCTATCACACGTCCTTGGAAGTAGATAAACCAGCACGAGTCACCGTACAAGTCAAGTCTAACGTAATATGTCTCATATTCAAGAGGCTGCCATCTGTAATCATGAATCGTGATTTGTGAACCCTCGTGAAGATGATCTCCTTAAGACAGAGAGCTCATTTTTTAAATCCAAAGCTGCTCTGTATTTGAACGGATTTTCCTGAGGGGGGGGGGTGTTGACAGATTTGTTGTTGTACTCCACTGCTGCGTGGGTCACCTTAGATCTTTGTGCGTGACACCCTATAAGAAAATAATTTCCAGCAAGCCGGCATAAACACTGCATGGTCGTATTGGGCAAAAATGCAAAAGGAACTTTTTAATAGACCTGATTGGTCATGTTCCCTGAATCCGTCTCATTCCATGAACTCTTCTACACAAAGCATTTAGACTACTTTCTAACCCTTCCCTCACTGTCGTTTTTCAGTGTTGCTTAATTAAAAATGTTTAGAAATAATGAATTAACAATTTCAAATGTTTCATCAATGAAAATGAAATTTATCTGTAACATTTATTTCATTGCTATAAATTTATTCTTTATTTCCCACAATAGAAAAAGTTAACTTCGCTTTCAGTTCAATAGGGCCGATTTGTGAATTCCCGCTTTATGTTGATGTAAGCCAAGGACCACAGCTTTGACGGTGTATTTATTTCCATATCCACAAGTCTCACACGCCGAACAGTATTTTTAATAAGTATTTGAATAAGTGGTGTGTATATAATTGGGTAATGAAAGAAAGCCTTGAAAATTTACTGAGGGTAACTATTTGGTGCACAGCAATGAAAATATGAAGAGACAGAATATAATTTGTACTCAATTTTTGTGCAATCTTTTTCGGTAAATTCGACATGATGAAATTTGGATAATTTTTGGACACTTACATTTAGGGCAATCACCCAAACAATGTTCTGAACATGATCCCGCATGTTTTTTTTTTGTACTTCATTGTTTCATGACTTTGGGCATTGGTGGCATATGGTTTTCTATTGCTTTATAATTATTTAATCAGATGACGATCGTGCGAGGGTTTTGATACAGGAAGCAAAATACCATTATTTGTAAAAGTGGAGTATTACAAAGTTCTGGAGAAGCAGCTAAAAGTAAAGGGGTCTGTCACACGATTCAATGTGGCAGTCATCTTCATTGGGTGTGATGTAATTTCTACATGTGCTCTGACGGAGAAAGTGGTCTTCCATTTCTTTATATGCGGCACACTAAATATAGCCTTCTTCTTACGGCTTGACAGTTTTTCAGAACCGTCGCCACAAACTCGTTTGTCCTGAATTACATAAATTCACTTATGCCATCTCGATACTTTACTGTGCCCTCTCAAACATTGTATGATCGCCTTTAAAATGGAATACATTTAGCAAATTAAGTTTGGAAGGACAAAAAAGAAGGGGAAATCAATGTTTGTTTTGGTTTTCCCGTTTATTATTCACGGATTGTAGCCACACAGCCGGTGAACGAAACAGTGGTCACTAGGCTGAGAGGTGGGGAAGTCTATTTTCAAATTAGTTCGAAGTTCCTGACGGGGGTGTTTCTATAAACAGAATCAAGTCTAACAATCAAAATCAACTTAGTGTAACACATGTTATAGACAAATCTCACGAGACACCGTTTTCTGCGGGGAGGACATCGCACTCACGGATGTCTCAACTTCAGCGCGCGCGAGAGAGCACCTTGGCAGGTGGTCTAGATACCCTAATGGTCAGAGAGGAATGTAACGCGCGTGTACCACCTGCGTGCGAACAGGAAGGCCTGGCTCGCAGTAATATCAGGATTCGTCTATATTGATGAGACTTCAAACAAGTAAGGTTGACAGCTAATCTAGCAGAATGTTACAGTGTATGCTTTTTGCCATGCTAGATTTGAAGGCAAAATTGTTACCAACTATGCCTGTTAGCTGCATAGTTGGCAGATGGCGCACCATCTACCACTGGAGGGTAAATCTGCCAGAGGTTTTGCTACCCACACCCTTCACCTTGATCTTTGTTTTGGCCGAGAAAGAGTTGGAAGTCTTCCTGACGTCGACCAGAGACACGCATACCTTGATGCCACTCTTTTTGCCGCAAGATTCATACTTGTCGTCAGTTACTGACAAATGACAATGAAAGAAAGAAATGAGAAAATACCACAGTACATGTATTTTAAAGGAAAACGTAAAATTTCTGTTTCATGTAATCTACCGTTGATGAACAATTCAGCTAATTTCTCCATGTGGACCGGACTTATGTTTCCAAATATTGTCCTTGTAATTTTGATGGTGCATGCTGTTGATAAAAACACAGGGGGAAGGGGGCTCAGTGGGACCCCTGCGCGCCCCACCCCCCGGTGTGCCACTGGTAGGTTTTAAGGCCATGATCTTTATCAAACCGAGAATGGGTGTACCTACCTAAAAATGAAGCACTAGTGACAGTACTTCCCAGGAACTTCAGAGCCATCTTAATACTGTTGGCACTGTACTCCATCGTAGCGCAGGCTGTAACAGTCAACCGTACAATAAAAAATTAACAATCACCTCCTAGTTTGCTGAAACACTTACACGAACAGTCGAAAGTACTTGAAATGAGCAAGCTGTGCGTGACGACGGGATTAAAGGTGAGATAACTCGAAGTCGAGGTTTTAAGAAGTTTATACATGTACGATAACCAGTCTGAGAATGAACTTGACAGCGAAGTGTGAACACCTTGTATTAGGTGGTCGCGTTGATCATCACAAGTAAATGTGAACCCGTGTTTTTCAGAAGCAAACTGTATGATTATAACTGTATCGATACATCTGATTTTATGAAATAAAGCTGGAGTAACATGATTGTCACTATGAGTCCGTCGAGGCTGTCTTGCCTGGCGGATGTCAGTCTTCGTTCCAAGACGTTACTAATAATTAATACTAGCTGTGTACGTGCAGTGAGTTTTGCCAGTCAACAGAGGGCGCTATGTGACGGCTAATTGTGAAAGCTTATCCACAGACATAAATAACCTTATTAGGTTATTACCTTATTAGGTTATTTATGTCTAATAGATTATTGTACGAATACAGACCTCGTCCGTCACATAGCGTCCTCTGTTGACTGGCAAAATATACCGCGCTAAAGCGTTCACGGATAGTAACGTCTTGGAACCAAGACTAGGCTGATGTATGCCCGCACATACGCAAGACATTAATTAAATGGTACATTCGGTCCACACGAGACACAGTTCAAGTACATTGCCATTTTGTTTCTGTAGGAATGCCAATCCAATTGAAATAATTGTTGATTGTACTGAGTAATTTCTTAGCACTAATACAATTCAAAACACGGCTTACCCACCATTGATCTTTTTGCCAACGACCTTGAATCCGAGGCAACATTTGCACGACCCACTTGAGCAACTGCAACCGTTGGAGTCCAAATAGTTTTTCGTGGCCTCCTTCCAATCTGGAATAAAATTTAGGGGTCGGGGAATGACAACCACCGGATCATGTCCCAAAATTTAGTGCGCAAAATGAGATTAGAACAGATGAAATGATACGAGATAAGACAAGGAAACACACAAAAGGGCACTGGACCTAAATTACCTGAAAGTTTGCAAAACGTACCTTTGTAAGTCGGTGCCTTGTCTCCGTCCTCCCAAGCCTTTGTCTCCTGTGTGTAAGCCACAAGCAGGACTACGGCGACCACCAAGAACAGCTTCATGTTGATACAACTAGGCCTATACCTACAGATGATGATCTTGGATATAAGAACCCGCGCCCAAATACGCTGGGCCCGGTTTGGGGCATCGGTCTTATACCGCTGCGACAGCGTGTTGACCAAGGCTCCGAACTTCAAGAGCAGCGCTGATTGGTTAAACATCATCCCCCTGAACTGTATACCACCTCCAAACATGGAAGCGTCTATTTGCAATACGTAACAGGGGTGGCTTAAGTCGCCGCTTGGCTAAGGGTGTCATGTAGTTTTGAAAGTAGTCTTTTACTCTAAACGGTTATTTTTGTCCACTTGAAAACTGTAGTCTAAAAAGAATGGATTTCATACAAAAGTCAGAAAAAGCGTTTTTTAATTTTTTTTATCGGCTGGCTAATCCACAAGCTGCAACAAAAGTCTCCAGTCTCCTAAACTGCACTGAAACCACCTTCCTCGATTTTGAGCTTGTTAATTAAATAATGCAGTTTTCCGGCGCCGGCCTTGCAATGTGTGAGTCCGCTTCATGGCAACGTATTGAAGGTAGAGAGTTTTCAAGGATACTTGGCGTGCACTAGTCCGCTATGAACACACACGAGCTCATGCACTGATATAAGAAAAGATGAACTAGGAAACGCATGATCCCATAATCGAGACACTCCAGTTTGGAGGTTACAACTTTGAGAACAGGAAGTGTCAAATATTGAGTTGAAGTGAACACATGAATTTCATTTTCTTGCAAAGTCTTCGCGATACAAAAAAGTGTATTTGCACATTTTCCCTTAATCAGCCGTCTATTATGATCCGCCCTACATCCTTTTATAACAACCCCTTTATAACATGAGACATTTAAACGACAACAGTGAATCTAGGACATAGTTACAACTGTAACAATGGGTTTGTTTCATCACTTTCAATAAAACAAACCGAAGACTAAATGGCCTTTTTAAAAGGTGATTTTGGACTTTCACGTTATAAAGAAAATGGCCGTATAGATCTCCAAACTTATCAATTTGACTCAAGAGGCAGCAACACCACAATTGATTGACAACACGGCAACAGAAACATCAACAATAACTTTTTCCCTCCTCCACAAATATCTCTTTTAACTTAAAAAAACCCAACCCATTCTGCAAAGAATAATCTGTTATCAATTGTGGACGTAAAGGTTTTTTAGAGGATTTATTTGAGGGGTTATTTTTTAATTAAACCAAGTATTCTACAAAACTCCGGTCCAACCAACAAAAGTCGAATTAAACAGCGAGATTCAGTCGAACAATAGCGCTCTCTGATAATATTGCCGTATACTTCGCAGAGGAGTTGATGGTTGGTGCCACAACAGTTAACAGTAAGCAATTTTTTTATTCGATGACTTGGAAACTGCGTGAGATATTTTTGAGTTATTCTTTACAGTTTCCTTTAGATTGAAAGCCAGCCACAATTTGCCGACCACCCAAAACACTCAAATGACGGAAAAAGTGAGGGATATATATGAAGATTTGAAATGTCCGCTGAAGATATCTTGTGCACCCTCCGATTATAGGCTCTCCAGAGAGTGACCATGCTCAGGAGGCGGGGAAAAGGCTTGTTGCGATGTTTGCAATCTGTTTATCGCCTTGTTTGCTGCTCAACTTGAAGTTAATTCTGTGTAACACAGGCTCACTTTGCTGCAGCTTCACCTTGAACTGTAATCTCTCTGTCCCATCTGGACCGTGTCAGGTGATGATGATGTTGGTAGTGACCTCAAAGGCCGCCCCGCCTGGACAAAGGACAGGCCAACACGCTTGCTACCTTGACGGTTATCAACGGAAAGCACTTTTATATGCATACCTTGGTGAAACTACCCTGGGGAAAAAATTCAACGATATTTGATCCACCAGTACTTTGCGATATTCCCGAAGCAGTCCCTGTAAATCAACCATCAGTACCTTACATTTTGGCAATGAGAGTTAGTTTACCTCAAGTAGACTTTTAATTTCGACGTCACATAAACATGTACATGTATGCATTCCGTGAAGCTGAATGCTTGATATAATCATAATCTGACCTCAAAAATCCAGTTTTCACCACAATTAACCTTGAATCTGATATACGTGTGTGAATGTAGCTTGAACGTATACCAGTAAATCCACATTAGCGAACCTTGTTTGAAGACCCCAGTGGGGCAAAGACAAAAATTAAACATAAAATTATGGTTTTGCCGTTGCAAGCCCTAATTTTTTTTTCTAGCAACAATCACTCAAGGAAGGAAACCGTTGTCTCATGGTGTACGTTCACACAATCAACCTTATCAACTTTGAACTGATGTCCTTATAGAAATAGTGACTTTTCAAGGATGTCCGGTGGTCGCTTTCGACCTTATTAATTAGAACGGATATAGCCCAGCAAGGCCTTTTGCCTGGGTCATTAGGACGATTCGGTTTCGCACAGGGAATGGAGATCTGTATGCGATTAGCAACCCTTTCTTTCAGAAGTCACCGTAAGGTTAATAGATATTGTGCAGGACAAAAAATTCTGTGGCTGTGCGCGGTTTGCTGCTGCTTTGCAAATTCTATCAGCAAATACACGGCAGAGAAGGAAAAGAATTCGACTAGTTTAAATGGCGGGGATGTTAATGCTGGTTTCATACTTCACGCGAATGCGAAAGCGAAGCGAATTAGACGTCGTGAGATTTGTAGCGAAATTCTGTTCCAGTTAAAATGTGTTCAACTTATGCGAATTCGGCGTAGCGCAATTAATTAATATTTGATCCGAAAAAAAATTTGCATTCATGTTTCCTTTCGCATGGAGTATGAACCGGCCTTTAGTGAAACGGAATTCTGTCCGTTCTTGAACACGATTTTTCCAGTGTCAGTGATATGCTGTTTGCCTATTGTACGAATGCGTTACAGATTTGCGAAATGAAGCCGCCACTAAGTCAAGTATTGTTTGACTTTTTGCTCGACGGAGTACGAGGTAGACAGGGAGGTATTGTTAGCGATTACACCACTGAAGCGATCGCTATCATGAAGAATGACCCCCAGTGATTTAGTTTCAGCACTCCCCGCCCCCCTCCCCCAAGTAGTAAAGTAATGTGATACATGTACTTTTGGACCATCTCTCTGAAATCTCTCTCCAAAGCCACCGTTCTGAAATCTCTATTACCACGCTAAGATTAACTCCGGTTCAATGGACACATTTACTCTCGCATTCTCACGCTGGAAAACCTCACTTTTGTTTTTTGTTTTTTGTATTTTCGTTTTTTCCTTTGTTAGTGAAGCTAATTTCTCTTTTGAAAATTTAGTCCCCTCTGAAGCCATTTATCTTTGCTGCAATTATGTACACAGTGTTGGTCCCTCTACTTTCAAAGCTTGTCACAGAATCAGGATCTGCACTAACTTGGGCATTTGTCAACCAAATGAAGCAATTAAAACGGGTCCTGTGGTTTTATAACTTCATATTAAATTTAACATAAGTGATACCTACTACTCCCAACACCGTTCCTAATTCTCCGAGCCCTTGTTGTATGTAATTGAATGTTGTAAAAACAAGCCTCTTATTTTCTGGGGGTATAGATGCACTATCGTTTGTCTCACTCTTCCACGATTTATTTTTTTTTCACCCAGATCAAGTCGCTGACAAACAGTCAGTCTGGTGTTCGTGCCTTTAATTCGGTTCAACTGATGAGATAAAGAGTATTTCATCGAAATTCGAACACACTGACGAATAAAGATAAGTAGGTGAATTCTCCAAAAAGGAAATTCCTTCCTAGGCAGTTATGTCATTTGATGCATAGGACAGGTGTGGGCGTTGTGCATTTCACGCATTCCTCTTTGCAGAGCTTGGTTCAAAAAATTCCCGTAGAGACAGTCTTTACACTTGCTGTTATATAAGTTTCAACACATTTTCTATTCATATAGACCAACTGTTCGTATGTATTAAAATAATGTTAATAAGTCATCGCATAAGTTAAACAGAATCCGCGGCAGAGTAAGGATACAAACAAATATAGACCGCTTTATCTCGTGGTGTAGGCCTAGTACATCCATGGGCGAAAAACCCGGGGGGACAAGTCCCCCAATGAATTTGGTACAAGGGGACACAATGTCGAATGTCCCCTCCATGCTTTAAGCAAAACAAAATTCTAAAGGACTTGATGGATCGAGGATTCCCCACTTTAAGTTTTTATAAAATAATGGAATAACATAATAAACAAGATTTGCACAAAAAGTGTAAATTCATGTCCCCCCCACACTCGAGGAGAGATTTCCGCCCATGAGTACATCTACCCTTCCATGACGAGCCATAGAGCATTCTCTTTCCTGAGACTTTTATTAAGTTTTGAGGTATCTTTTGTAACCTAGCTCATGTCTGAAAGGAACTGTTTCAGCTGAAAATAACACATGCCACAAATGAAGCCGGAATAACTTCCAACAGACTCCGGTACCTCACAGCCAATTTGTGAGGGCGTTAAACCGATCTGTTCCTGTACTCTGTACTGGACTTTAGAAACGTAAGTTCGTTAACCCTTTTTATAGGAGGTGTAGACGGAGCTGTCTTTGCTGCATCCACATTTTTAATTTATAGGTATTCGTCTCCTTGACGATACCATCGAAGACTGACAAGGCAAGTTCACGGTAAGTCTTGATTTTAACTTGGACTGTGCTCGGACTTGTTCTTTGCTCAAAGTTTTCTAGCCAATGGGCACTGGACGTACGTACGTCGGTACCAACCTGGGCCGTGTACTGGTGGCCTACGGGCGGTTGTCACTACTATGGTGGTCTATATCTGCCCCACATCTCGGGATACGTTTCAAAATTTTTGTTAAAATTTGTAATTTGCATGGTAGCAGTCTTGCAGACACTTTGTTTTGTACCACAGGGAAACCTTCGTAGTACGTATACATACGTATTGCATTGACCTGCAAGATGGCAGCCATGCAAACCTTCTATATCAAATTTGTTTACCAGATGGCTATGAGGTGGCATGTTGATATTAATTATTTAACAGGGTTGTGCATATCAGATTATTTATCTAATACTTCAGTTTTCTGGCCAATT